GGATAATTAGTTATTGTTTCGATAAAACCATTCGTTTGGTTTAGATATCAATTTTAATTATCAATGCACAAAAAAGAAGGTAAGCTTTAATAATATGGATTAGTACAGCCCGCGACAAAACTATAGCACACTTTGTATTTTTTTACGAAAATTACAAAATTGACCAATTTTTGTAAATTTCAATATTAATATATTTTTCATAAAACTATTGTTACACAATATACTATTACTTTAATAAGTGTTTAAAGTCATAAAATAAATGTACAAACACAGTATCTAATAGAGTTTTATTTTAATTAACAGAAAATTACGTTTGTAGGGATCGATGGAGATTTCGAAAAATTATACAGGGGTCGATGATCAAAAAAGTTTGGCAACCCCTGCTCTAGATTAAAAAAGGGTTTTCTGTTGACAGTTTTCAAAAAAAAAAATTTTTTTTTTAAATATATACAAAATTGACTAGTGTATTTTCTAAGGTTTTCTAAATTTAGTGGCAGATAGTTCTTAATTTTGTGTAAAAAATGTCCTCTAATAACACTTTCTGTATAACAAACACTATGCCGAAATGTTTCTGTGTGAACACTGACTCAGAATAGTAAGGTCATGCAAATTGCAATGTTGGCAGGTATGAAATTCATCAATAAAAATATTAAATTCACAATAATTATCAATCAAATTCACAATTAATATATTTAATATTAAATACAGATATTAAATTAAGAGATTGAAAAAGTAAAAATTACTGTAACACCCTTGTTTATTTACAGTTGCAAATCCAATTTCGTACTGTGTAATTTAGCATACTTATGTCTTGACTAAAATAATCCAATATTTATTTAACGTCTCTTTATTGATTTTAAACAATGTAAATTGTTTTTAAACTTAAACATCGTTACTTTATATATTATGTAATGATAATAAACGTTATTAAAAGAAATAAAAATGTATTTTATTAAAAGTGTAACATTCAATTTAAATGCTTGTTTTATTCCCTCCAGGTGCGTGTGACTGCATATCAAGCTTTAGGTCCTTTTATATCTACATTTGCTGAACCAGATAAAACTGGGTTGTACTATAGTAAAGAGGGTGTTTTGACTGTCACAGATTGTGATACAGCAACATGTGAAAATTCTCATGATGAGTTGACTTGTGATGATGACGATTCAGACTTAATTAACGAATCGAATGGTAATTCAGATGTCGTTGCAGATCATTCTAGTTCTGACAGGACTGATTCTTCCAAATCCTGTGATAATGTTGTTCCTCTCAGCTGTGTGGCCTCAAGTCATTCTCCTTCTGATGTCCCAAGTATTTCTTGCCAAGTTGGCAACTACTGTACTGTGATAGAAGTTAGTTCTCCAGCTTCTGATGTAGACACAATGCAAGGAAGTGGAGAAATAGTAAATAATGCATTTACCTCCAATTCTACACAGAACTCAAACCAAAATACAAATCTAGTTAGCTCAGGTGATACTTGTGAAGTCGATAGTTGCAATAAGAAATCTTTGTGTGACACTGTGAGTATGAATGGTTTTGAAAGGGACAGACTAAACCAAAGTCATGATGATGAGTTTAATAAATTGTGGTATGAAGCAGCTTATGGGTGCGAAGATGGTGTCACTCAAGATTTATGTGGTAAAGTTTTGAATGGTGACATTGGTTCTGTAAATAAAAAGTTATTTGTAAATACTAAAAAATTGCAAAACATTAAATCATCTGAAGAAAAACATGCTTTTTGGAGCTCTATAACTGTAAATGGTGTAAGTCTCAACCGGTCAATTCCTTTAAATGGACCAATTTCTTTTGAAGTGATACCATCAATAAGTTGTACTAATTCCAATAGTAATGGTATAAATACCTCTAATCATAATTCATTAGCAGATAGTGGTAGTGAAACTTTGTTAATGGCCAATCCACATTCCAATGATGTAAGTGGTGATATTGTCCAATTTTCTAATTCATCTCCTAATGACTCCTCCGAAGCTTCTGATATTTCTTCTGTGAACGAAGTTGAAAATGAAGATGTGCTCAAGTGTAATGAAGAGAAGCCTTCTGTTAAAGAAAGTGCCTTTAATCATTTTCAGTATTGGCGTGATCCTATTCCACCTCTTGACATGGAGGAAGAAATAAATTATTACAAAAATCATTGTGTTGGTGCTATAAATGCATATGAAAATATCAGAATAGTTAAATCTGAAGTTACGTCTGAAGTAAAGTAAGTTTAAATTAAGTTTAATATTTTATATATTGTTTCTCCATCAGTTTTGCATGATTAACAATGACTTACAATTCGTACAATTTGCACAAGACAAATTACTGCTCACAAACAAGACAAAATACGTTCTGTTGGCAAAGTATTAAAACAGATTCTCCTAGTTTTAAGTGCTTATGCACTATCTTTATTTTTGCTGTTGGATAAATTTGCATTTTCCCATTCTTTAAATATATAATTATTTAGATTCAATATTTTTTAATTTCTCATTCTGAAAAAATTAAATTAATAGTCTCCACTCACTGTGACAATTTTTTTTTTTTTTTTTTTTTTNTTTTTTTTTTTTTTTTTTTTTTTTTTTTTTTTTTTTTTTTTTTTTTTTTTTTTAGAAAAGATGTAACATAAATACTGAGCTGAATGTCTTTTTTTCCCCCTATACTTTCTAAAAGAATTTGTCCGTTGTGCTAAATTTACTATTATAAATAAAATATTTTCTCTTCCAAATCTGAAAATATTGATAATCATTTAATACTCAAATATAAACAATGATTAATTTCAAATTTTTTTTTAATATGTATATCAATTTAATTGAACATTTACTATAATTATTGAATTTCAACCATTGAAATTTTTTGTTTAAAAATTACGGTTATTTGTTTGTTTCCTATCATCTCTTTTATGGATAATTTAGTTCCAGAAATAAATATTTCTATTATAGCTTTTTTTTCTTCTTTTACTTTATACCAATAAAGTTAAGGTTCAGATTATTTTTCTATAATGACTCAACTTATTTACAAATAAAATTAGAGAACAAACAAACAAAAAGAAATAAATTTTTTTATATACATATTTAAAGTTCCTATGTAATTTTATCTATATTATTATTCTGTAGACACAGTATCACCTTCCTCCCCCCACACAATAGACTTACTATGGAGGGTGTCATATAATTTTTGCTTCCTTGCTGCAATTTTTGGTTTATGTTTTGTGTTATAATGTGTGAACTGGATCTTAAAAGTAAGAAGAAAATTCTCAGTAGAATTTGTTAGTTCTTTTTTTCATGTATAACTAATAAATAATGACACATTTGAGTTGTGTGTCTTTTAAAGGAGATATATTTACATATTATATCAATAGATTTTGGCTGTGTCTACTGAATGGTTTACATTTAAATGAAATAGTAACTCACAAAAGTCCCTATAAGTTAAATTTTTGTTTATGAAAAATATTAGTTGTAATATCTATAATGCTACTAAAAAATTAACTACAACCATTATACCCTGTATGAATCAAATTTTTGAATTATGAATCCATGAATTTTTTCCTATTCAGAATTGTTATGCACATTTTACTTTTATTTATTGTAACTTTTCTAAGTCCCCCTCTTTCTTTAAATAACTTTAGAGTATAATTTTCTTTCCCATTTATGCTTGTTTTTTTTTCCTTAATGTTTATTTTATTTGTTTAGGTCTGATGTTGCAGACTGCTATATTACCTTTGAGGATATTTTTAGTAACTTAAAAGCTAGTGAAACACCAGGTTTGTTAATTTTATGCATTTCTTAATTATTAGAACATGAGCAATCTATTTCATGGCTTTATTGTTTTCAGGCATGTTCGATGTTTATTTAGTAAATGTTGTATATGAACAGTTAGATTTCGACATAAGTTTCTGAAGTCTTATCTTGAATTTGTGCTTGTTTCTTTTATCCAACATATAAATTTTTTTACTTAGCTTTCCCCCCCCCCATGTTAAATATGTTATGTTTGTTAGTATTTGAATTAATTTTGAAAGTTATCATATTTTTTAAAAAAATTTTATTCTATAGGTTATAGTTTTATTCTTAAGGATTTTTTTTTTGGAAGTAATGACTGTTACATCTTCATTTTTCTTTTATAAATAAAGTTTTTTTTTTTTAAAATGCATTAAAATTATCAGGCCTCGAAGGTTATGAAGAATAAGGAAAACCTGGAATTGTGACGGAATTTAATTTTAACAAGAAAAAAGAAGGGGGGGGNGGGGGGGGGGGGGAATCAGAATAGACAGGAAAAGTTACAATTTTTTACTATAACCTGGAAAATTCCTATGTTATACATGGAAAATAACCATTCACTGCCAGTAACAGTAATCAGTTATTGAGATTTGAAGTAAATAATTCTAATATCTAATTACAATTATTTGTTACAAAAATGTAACATTTTAGTCGCACTGACATGTTGCCATCCTCACTCATTTTTTTTCCTCACTAAATTTGGCACTTCAAGAAAAAAATGTGCATGGTATAAATAAAATATGGTCTGAATTTTCATTGAAATTTACCTGATATACCTTGAATCAGTGAGGAATTTTTTGTTTTTAAATACAGGGTTGCCACAGGCTACTAAAATGCAACTATTTTCGGCCTTAGGCGACTTTTTTTGCCTGAAAAGGCAACAAAAAAAAAAATAGAAAAGCAACTATTGTCAGGAATAGGCGACTATTAGGAGGCTTTTTTTAATATTGGCGAAGTTTTTTCGCAAAAATTAACGTTACTGTTCAGAACGTTAATAAAAGAAAGCAAACTTTAAAGGCAAAAAAAGCAACTATTTTCAGGAATAGGCGAGCGACTATTATGAGTTTTTTTTTTACTCTTTGCAAAGTTTTTTCTAAAAAATGAACGTTACTTTTCAGAACGTTAATGAAAGAAAGCAAACTTTTATACAATCATTTATGTCCAAAGAGCCAAAAATTTAAATTTCCATTGGATTTAATAGAGTACTTGTTATATGTTCTCTCTGAGACTCCCGACTTTTATATAGGTACTTATTTTCTAATATGCATACCTTTCATATTTGTACAAAACTTTTTTTTTTTATTGGGAGCATAAATAGTTTTTGACAATTAAGCTATAATTTTAGTTATTTGGCTATTGTTTTTGATAAATTTTTGTTCCTGTTCAGGCAGCTATTTTCATAGTTTTAGGCAACTATTTTCATGCTTGAGGCTACTAAAAGCAACTATTTTTGTTCTTTTTTTACTGTGGCAACCCTGTAAATAGAGTGAGAACCATGCTTATGAAATAGAAATAAAACTTAACTGTTAGAAAAAAATATATTTTATGTTAATATAGGTTATCATAGAGAGGATTATGATGTTTGTTTTATGAATTGTATAATTTTTAAAGTAATTTATTTCTTTTTTCAGAAAACAAAGGTGAACCTCCTCCTAATACAAACATCTTTACTGTTCATGAGCAGGTATTTTTTTTTATTCATTTTTAATTTTTATTAACTAAGCAATCTAAAAGTAGTGATGGCATTTATCTTTAAAAATTATTTCTGTTGAGAAAAATAAATACTAATTCACCTATTGTATTTATATAAATCGCCGTTTAAAATTAAGGCTAGATCATGTTAACTCTAGAACTAACATTTTTACTCTCTTATGAAGTTCTAGAAAATTTGTCTATTGATCACTCCCAAAAATTTTCGTGACCTTTACTCCAAATTTGTTTATTTTCAATGATTTTTTTACCCAACTAATTCTCTTGATAACGTGGGACCGCTGAAAAAGAATTTTGTTTGAGTTTTCTTCCAACAGTAGACAAATATAGACATTTAGGAGCTATTTTATTTCACAAACCATTCTAAATTATACTGATCAACACAAAATGTTAAAAAGAACTTATTTTTCATTTTTTTTTTAAAAGTAATTTTTAAACTATCTTCTTCAGCAATACGGCCCCTTACAGGCCTTGGCTGCCTCAACCACGTGTATCCTCCTACGCCTCCTATCCATGGTGACTTTTTTCCAGTTTTTAATATTTATTACTTTGAGATCTTAAGTAGTGTCATCCAGCCATCTAGTTGGAGGTCTTCCTCTTGCTGGGTCGAGATCCAGAAGGCGATTAAAGGTGGCGATTCGTACTGCATTGTTTTCTGGACCTCTCCAGATATGGCCAAGCCATCTTAATGCAAAATGTAATTGCAAATAAGAAATTATAAATTAGCCGAATTTATAAATATTGTTTTTAAAAATAATATGAATATTTTATACTTGTTTGTTATAGGATTAAATGAGTTTTTTATATTTTTTTCAACAGGATATTGTGCCTCCTGAGCTGCTCCTGCAATATTTAAATATGATAGATTCTGCCTGGGCTCAAACCATAGATGCAGAAATAGCTCGTCATTGTGCCTACAGTTTACCCGCAGTTGCTCTTACTTTAGGAAGGAAATATTGGCCTTGTTTACGAGACACATTTGATGCTCTTACTTCAGATTTACAAGTATGTTTTTTTTTTTTTTTTTTTTTTTTCAGTTACTGATATTTTTATAAATATCAGTTTTATAATTGTTTGTATAAATTTCCTTCTTCCCTAAATCTCTGTATAAAAAAAAGTAGTTGCAGCTGTTTAATCTAGTTAACTATTTGTCATGTTACAGCGTTTTATTAAACTTGGCTTAAATTAGAAGCCTTAGGATTTAGAGTTATTAGTGATACTCGTTTAACTTTATTTTTTATAAAAATCTTAATTTTTTAAATAGTGAGTAAATTCTAGCTAAGATTTTATGAAACCTGTCAAGTTCTAATATATATTATAATTGCAATAAAAATGGCAATATTTGGAGCATAACTTGCATTGGAATAGATATTTTGCAACTATGCTTTTTATTCACTTCTTGCGTTGTAATAGTGTGAATGGAAATTATCTGGATCTTTCTCTTCATAAGGGATTGTATTTTATAATCGAATAATTTGAAAGGTGCTTTCAAGAATTTATCATTTTGCTAACAGCCACAGCTTTATAGATATTAAAAACATAATATGTCATATTTATCAGCTTAAACCTTTTTTTCCATTTACACCAACAGTAAGTATTTTGAGTATATTTTAGTATTGAGACAGTATTTTGAGGTTCTCAGTGTGTGCAGATTTCATCCTAAATGGATGTTGTTTTTCTATTTATATTTAATCTTTTTTCTATGGATTTTCCATGTGTTTAACAATATTCTTAATATACATGAAGCATGCATTTCTAATTTAAGTAATCATTGACGTGCTTACTGCCAAATTCATTGTTTCAACATTTATTGTAAAATCTTTTCAGTTATTAACTTTATATTTTTCATCAAGCTATTATTATAACTCTTGTTTTGAATAGCACAGTTGATCGTTTTATGATTTGCATTTAGAATTTAGCATCATGCATTTGCGATTGGTATTTATAATCGGATGTTTTGATACAATATTATTTCAGCCTGCACAGATTATATATTATATTATATACATAGATATTATATTATGTTATGTTGATAAAAGTAGTGTATTGAACAATGACATTTATTTGTAAATGCTATAATTGTTGATAAACATTTCTAAATAGGCATGTGTCCCATCATTTATCAAACATCAAACTGTTTTGTATGTCGTCCTTTACTCAACAGTTGAGCACTCGTAGTAAAAAATTTATTTTACTCTTGCTTCCCTGATAGTTGTGAAACTGGAAGTTTATGTTTTATATGAAATGGCCGAAATAATTTGTCCATTTAATTATATTTTTCATCAGGTTATTACTACAATTCTTGAGTTTTGAATAGCACAGTTGATTTCTTTATGATGTGCATTTGAAATTTAGCATTGTACATTTGCGAATGGTATTTAAAATCTGATGTTTTAATCAGGGTTGGCAAGTTTTTGACACATGACGGTTTTTACCGGTTTATATTATGGTTTTTACCGTCGTGTCAAAAACCCATAGTTTTGGTAAAACTGTATTTTTACTTGAGTTTAACTGCTTATAATTTAAAATTAATTCATTTTTGGGCAATAAAATAGAAAAAAAGTTGTTGAAAGATACATAAGAACAGATTCTTGCATTTTCCTAACATGATTATATCAAAACATACTATTTGAAGTAAAATATTAGGATACTAAACAAAATTTTCAACATTTCCAAGCATCATTTTGTTTGGCATATTACATTATTGAAGAATGTCAAGTCATTCTTGACTTAGAGTTTGTTAGTAGTTACAAGTTTTGAAAGTTTTGTTTAGCTTATTTCTAATATTTAAGAAATGCCAAATTTTAAATTCTTCTCTTTAGTTCTTGAATTTATTAATATTTCCAAGCTTTTTTGTTTGTTTATTTCTAACAATTAAGAAGTGCAAAATTTTGAATCCTTTGCAAATCAAGCTATAATGATAAAAGTATCACTATTTGCAATAAGTATATAACAATATTTCTATATGAATATATATCCTTCTATAAGAATACATGTATATTGTTGCAAAATCAATAGCAATCATTTACAACATTCATTTATAAAGGCAATTATGTGAAAATAATATATTGTCCGCTATATGCCATAAATGAAAGAAAACGGTAGGTTTTAGACGGTTTTTACCACTGTCTTGTCAAAAACCAGTTTCGGCGGCAAAAACCCTACCCTGGTTTTAGTAAAGTATTATTTCAACACGCACAATTCGATAAGTTTAGAAATGTTTTTTTTTCTTTTTTCACATTCTTTACTAATGAATTCTTTTATTTTAAGTACTTAATTTTATGGAAATGTGTAGTTGATAAAATTAGTGTATTGAACAATGATTTTTATATGTAAATGCTCTATAATTGTCGATAAACATTTCTAAATAAGCATGTGGTCCTTTACTCATAACAGTTGAGCACTCATAGTAAAACTTTTATTTTACTGTTGCTTCCCTGATAGTTACAGAAATGGGAAATTTATGTTTTATATGAAATGGCCGAAAAAACTTGTCTATTTAATTATTACTTTATGGAATTGATTGATATGATTTAGTATGTTATGTTGCAATAGGGTTTCATCATGATGTGGAAAGTGCGAAGAACAGTTGCTTCTGCTCTGCACCAATTAGCTGTGATATTAGGTCCTGAAATAACATCCAAAGATCTTGTGCCAGTCTTTTCTCGTTTCATTGGAGATTTAGATGAAGTTCGTATTGGGATATTGCAACACTTATTCGAATTTCTGAGGGTGAGTCCTAATCTTAATTTAAAAATGTGCTTTTTAAGATCTAAATGCATTATTAAGAAATCGTGTTGCAGTATTTTATTAATTGTTTGTTTCAGTTATTTGTTAATTCATAATTTCATCATCATAATTTCTTTATTATAACTGTCTTCTATAAAGATAAGCTTTTGTTATTATAGCTTTTTATTATCTTTATCAATCTCAGTATTTTTTAGTAATTTTTAATTTCCCCATCATTTTGGTTTTTAACACGTGTTTTTTAAATGAATTAGAATGTATTCAACAAGGGTAATTCATTTGGTAACATTTTAAAATTTCTAGTCATTGTTACATTTTGATGAAAAATCAAGGTATCAATGAATATTAAAATTATAAAAAAAATATAGACTTAGCTCCTAACTCAGTAAACTTTTAAAATAATGGCATATATATTGTTTAACAGTACGTAATAGGAACTTACAATGTTTTTCATTTTTAGGTGTTAAAGCCTGAAGAACGAGTACAATTTCTTCCTAACTTATCTGACTTTCTAGTTTCAAATAGTGACTCAGACATGAATGAGAAGAATTGGAGACTGAGACTTGCTTTAGCAGAGTATGTAATCAAAATAAATAATAATATAAATTTTTTGTTGGAATTTTTCTAGTGTCATGATAGCCTAAGTGATATAACTAGCAATTGAAAAGAAGCTCTCATTATGTTTCTAAATCTGGCTTTAACAAACCACTGACGTCACTTTGTAATGAACCTACAAGGCTCATATTAATAGGCCTAAAAAACTATATTACTAGTTTGCTAAAAGTTGTTTTTCCCAGTTATTCTAAGACATATTGTAAAATAAAGCAACTTGGTTGCCCTATGTGGAAAGAAAGAATTTCACAGACCTAATGTAGCTCTTTATTTTTTTTTTCCTTTCAAACCAATCATTTTAAAGTAAATTTAAAAGAAATGTATTTATGTGGGGGAAAAATTTATAACGATAATTTTCTTCAATATTTAATTGATATTCTTATGTATAACCCTATCAGTATTGGCACAAATATTAAGTTATCAATGCAATATACACCAATTAGAATAATTGAAAGTAAGAGCGATCAGGAAATAACTACGACTAGTGTAGACAACACCATCCATAAAAGTGTTGTGTGCACACTTATATAAAAAAGTACATTTAAATAATATTTGCTATATCAGGGTTTGTTGATATAAATCAAATGATTAAAAAACAGTGTTATAAATTATTGATACTTTTATTTCTTAGTTTCAAAATTTATTTTAAGTAAATTAATTGATGCATTTATTAATTTTAGCTAACGAAATTACTTTCTTTCTTGGTATGTGTTAGATTCCAACACATTTGAAATTACATTTTTAAAAATCTTATCTCTTTTGAATTAAAAAGGAATATTTTAATATAAAAATATATAGATTATTATTATTATTATTTTTTTTTTTTTGTTGAATGACTACATTTCTAAACACAATCTGTTACATTTATTTTGCCATTTTAAAAACCAAGGGGGGAGGGATCACAGTTTTAAATTTTTGGTAATTGAAACTTTGTTTTAATAGTTAAAGTATTCTTTAAATTCCCTATTTCATCTAGTCTTTAAATTTCAGTCATGCATTTGTTTCAAAATGGTTGCTATGCATTCAAAGCTACATATTTTAATGAATAATTATTTTAGGTAGTTAGAGCTTCTAAAACATTCATATAATATAGTTTTAATATTAATTTAATTTTGATTAAGCATTTATAAAGGTTTTTTAGTCATAAATCAAAGTTCTTACAGTGTATTTGAAAAAAAAAATCCGATTTTTTGTTTATTTAAAGGAAAAAAAATCAATATCAGTAGACAAAAAGGTATGTTATGTAGAGATATTTTACTGTTTCCTCATAGTTTCAAAACCTCCAAAAATTAGTAAAATATTTACTGCTTTGTTAATTTTTAAAATTTTTAATTTGCTAAATTTAACATACTGGTTTAATTTTAAAGTTACAATTGAATTTGCAAGAAGTAGAACTGTAAAATTTTTAATTAATTCCAGGATGCTTTATTATAAACAAATTAAAATTTTGAGATCTTTTATTTTTTCTATTTTGATTCTCTATTCTTTTTAGGCAACTTGTATGTATAGCTGAATTGTATGAACCCCAATGTGTTCGAGATCACATGGTGCCTCTCGCCTTAAAATTAATCAAAGATAAAGTTTGTGAGGTTCGTTTGGCTGCAGTACGTGTGGTAAGTACTTTTTTTGGGACAATGAAATCTTATCTAATTTGATTGTGTTCGGCAAAAACATCTCACTTGTTAAACTACTTCTATTTATTTTAAATGTCAATTCATTTAATAAACTATTTGGTAAATTATTTGCTGAAATTTTAAAAAAAATTGCATAATGAAACAAAATCAATTAAGAGAGCGTATAAAATTTTGAATTTCTTGAAAAGCTCTGCTAACTTAAATTGAACTTGTGTTATTCTGCTTCATATAAGCACTTTCAGCTTTAATTTTCAATTCAATTTTATGCGAATTGTACAAATGTTAAAGCATTGGGTAAATACAACCGAACATTTCATTAATAATACTGACATTTTATTACAGATGGCTGCTGTAATGAAACGATTAAGACAACACCCAACTCAAACTCTAAGCAAAGCAGTTTTGACTGAACTGACTGACAAATTCGTCCATTCTCCTAAATGGCTGCACCGGCAACTGTGAGTATCTATTTGCTATTAGTTATGTGAATGTTTTGGAATTTCATGTGTGAAAAAATATGCTTGGAGTATAAGAAAATTATGATTAATTAGTTAGTCATTATACAAAAAATAAATCCAATGTTTAGTCATTGATTTTCAAACATTAACAATTTAAGTTCCTTTGGGAGGTGCTTTGAAATAAGGCAAATAATATCATTTCAATATAGTTAAGGTTGATAAATGTGTAATTTGAAATAAAGACATGGTGTTAGAAATTTTGCTAAGCATGGATTGACAAAAATGCTTCGTTAATAAAAAATGGTTTGCTCTTGGTCTTTCAGCTATATGCAAATCTTGGCTTTGTCTGGAGGAATTATCGTGATATCAGGGCAATAGTAAGATCAGTATTAATTATTTTGATTACTACAAAAAATATCTCTTTTATGATGTAAAAATTATGGGTATTGGCACAGTATGGCAGAAAAATAAGTGATTTTTTTTCCTGACTTTGATTTAAAAATTATGGGCATTTGTATAGTATGGCAGAAAAAGTAGTGAAACTTTTTTTTTTCATTGAAAATAATTTCCACCCCCTAAAAATTATTAATAATACTCTTTTTGAGATTCTTAAAAATGTTGGGAATTACTATAACTCAAGAGTTTTATAGGTGCATTCATGTGTGGGTATATCATAATGCTGTATCAGACTGTATGCTGACATTAAAGCTTAGGACTTGCACTTGATTTTTTAAAAAAAATAATCAACAATTCAAAACAGCTATTGCATTAAACCCATTTGTGTGAAATAGCAATGGGAATGAGAACCCTCTCAAAGACATGATACTAAGACATAACAAAATGAAAGTTCAAATTTAATTTTAAAAATTCTATTTTACTTTTTTGAATAGCAACTGATAAGTGATAGAAATCCTAGACACTTAGCAGCACATTTTATAAACCCCTGTTCTAGATAATTTTTCCAGAAATAAATTTAAGATTCTTGTTTTGTAATAAAACCTATAAATTTTTAGTGAGAATAAACTGGTTTTCTTTTCCTTTTTAGATATGTGTATGTATGTCAGGAATTCATTATAGAAAACTCTCTTTCTGCTGATCAGTTTGCAGAGGATGCTTTGCCACAGCTACTGTACCTATGTTGGGATCGAGTTCCTAATGTCAGATTAGCTATTGCTAGATGCATAGTAACAGTAATATGGCCTTTAGGTAATTCTTATTTTCTTTTTCTCTCTTTTAAATGTGATGTTTTTGTTTGAACTTTAATATATGTATATTTCATATAGTTATAGTGGAAGATTTGTTACTCAATATTTGAGAATTGTCTTTAAGCTCTCTTACACCCGTATTCTCCACACCGAGTTAAATTCAAGAGTAACTCGGGGATCGGAATATCCACGGTTCAGAGTTACTCTCGGATTAACCCTCGCTTTTTATTCTCCAACCGTTTTCAACAGAGGATTTCACAACTCGAGTTTAACACTTCCAGGAAATATAACGAGGCCTTTGATTGGGCAAGGTAAAACCATGTGACTTTGTATATAATATAAACACATGCATCGTGCATAAACAAATCAGCGTGAGTATCGCTAATTTAAGTGGAGAGGTTTTAAGAAACGATATCTTTCAAAAAAGTCTATTTCATCTAACTTTTCTAGGTCATTATTTCTGATAGTTGGGACATATCTTTCCCTTCTTTCAACAGTGTTTTGTTAATCGAATAAATACCAAATATTTGTATGTTGCATCTCTAATTTAGAAGCAGCAATTGCTGTTTATTTTTGAAAATTTGATTTTTTTTGTTATGATTTTACAGTGCCGGGTATAATCTTGTATCTATTTACAATTTAAAAACTCCTTGAAAAAGTGTTTTGCAATAACCAGACCCTATTTGCACAAATTCATAAAAGCGGACCCTGGTTGAAAGAATGTGAGTAATTTTTACACAATTTCACGAAAAACGGACCTTTCACAAAATGTCTGGACAGACCCCTGATATTATTTTAATACAAAATTTTTATTTTGCATATTTTTAAATAATAAATTTTTGCGCAGTCTTCACGTTTTCACATCTTTGGCTACCAAATTTCATCGTATATGATTTAATATTTTAAATTGTCCTGTGCATATTGTTTGTGTTTTTCTTATATGGTTATTTCTTTATTTCCCAATTTAGATACATTTTCCAATCCAGAAAGTCCTCATAGGGAATTACTACTGGAAACTATACATACCCTTCAAAGTGATACAGATGCAGATGTAAGATATTATGCCAACATGGTTTCAACTCACGAATGTTCTTGTCTACAGAATGGGCAGTTTAATAACGTAAGAGTTTTATCTCTTTAATTGTTAGGAAATTTGATTTTTATACTTATAAGTCAAGGAATATTGCATTTTTGAGAGAAAACCTGAAAAAGTCCTTCCAAGAATTAAAATTAATAGTCAGTAAGTTTCAACATTCCAAGAGCTATTAGAGTGATTTCTTTTGAAAATTCTCCTGGATAGATTTTCTTAGATTCATTAAAATTAGAATGTAAAATTTATTCAGAACATTTTCTATTTCCTGTTCTGAAAAAATTTCTGCCAAATTCACAGTTCAAAAATGTTTTTCAGTTGGCTAGCAATAAATTATTATAAAAATCAAATTTTCTGTATTAATTCTTATTTATGATGGTGGCTATTAGATATGTATAATATTTGGTGGCTATTAGAATTATGTTACTAATTAGTTTTTACATTATATTACTAATGAGTTTTTAGTTTTATGTGTAAAATATTGCTTATCAAAGCATCTATTAATTCTACAAAAATCTATTAATTTCAGTTTCATAATCTCAATGCAAGTGTTTACTAATGCCTAAATGTAATTTGTCTGGATTTTTTTTAAAAAAAAAAGAAAAAACCAAAATAGGTTAAACATGTTAAGTAAAAGCAGGGTCAACTTACATCTAGTAACTAACTAATAAGTATCTTGTAACTTTTATATGCATGCCATATTTCAAAATAGAGTCATGAGTTAGTTTGTCCACTTCAGCATGCAATATTCTTTTTATAGCATTACTTGCCATATAGGTTGCTAATTAGTTTTATATTACTGGTTATGGGAAAATCATAGTCTGATCAGTGTCAGATATCTGTAATTGGATCTTCATTTTCTGATTTACTCAATGGCTCCCTTATAGAAGCATATAAATTTAATCAGTTTTTCATGTTCTATTGAGTTGATTCTGAATAAGCTATAGTTCAAAGAACATTTGGAACTTTTCGTTTAAGAATTTTTTTTTTTACATTTGGTTTAAAAGGGGATGCCCTGAATCTTCTTTTAGAACATTTTATTAAATTAAATCTACTTGTATTAGTTGTTGCCATTACTTTTAATTGTCTGTAATGTTTGCCTGCATTAATGTGTTTAGAGAAGGGTGCTTTCAAAAATATTTCTCTTAATTTTTTTAGTCTATTTTGTATTGATGATATATACATTTTGAATGAATGTTGGGTATTTTCATCTCTCTCTGCACACCTTCGTATTGTTTCATGTTAAAAATTGTAGTATTGACAATCTCTTATTTTTTGCAGAGTAATCAAATGGTCTGATAAAGCTGTTAGCTCAAAAATCCTATCTAGTCGTATTTTGACTGGGAATGCCATCAACCATATTGAAGTAGATCATTTTTATTTAAAGTCGCCATGGAGCTTTATGGAGAAGTCAATTATGTGCTCAAAACTTATCTTTCCACATGAGTTCTCTTTGTACTAAAATTGTACAGATGCAATACGTATGTTTTTATACCTCTGTAACGGGTACAATCAAGAAGCGCTTATGTCTCAGATTATTTATTGATCTTATGAGTTTTTCATGCTAAGCAAAATTTACTTAGCTGTGATAATGACATTTCATATGTAATTAAATTCTGTATTTGTGATTTGAGATCAATTATTTATACTTACACTACTAAATGTCGCTTGGGTTTATTTACTTTTTTTTAAAAAAAAAATTTACTTGCATGTTTTTATGACACTTATGCAATAAATTTATGTGACTTTTTACGATTGGCTATGATGGTATTTGTATCAAAATGAATCTTTAAAAATCATCTTATCAGTTCCTTTCCATCGTTGTTTTTCTCAACAAGTTTTTAATATTTTTTCTTTTTCATTCTGTTTAGTAAATTTTCCATCATGTTTTATTTTAAACTGACTATAAGAGAGAAAAGATCTTTTTTAAAATACTAAGTTTATTTTCAATGAATTATTTAAATTTTACTCATTATAGGTGCTCAAGAAGTTATAAATAAATGAATGAATGATTTTGAAGCGCTTGTGTTATTTTTATTGGAAAACTTAAATTATTTCCTTTGTAATATATACATATCTGAAGATCTAAATGTGTTTTTATATGTAGCAGTTCCTTTTTCTATTAAATAAAAATAAATTTCAGTTGTCTTTCTATTGATCCGAGTTACTTTTGTTGTTAGTTCTTGCATTTTCCATTTAAACAACATAAACACTTGAAATACATTAATTTAAAAAAAAAAAAAAAAAGAAGTTAATTCCGTTATAGGAATCTCTACTTTTAAACAGCTATCAAATGTTTCTAAAGATCGAACAGCACTGATCCTTTTACATTTTATTATACTATACGACTCCCCCACCCTCTTAAAGGAAATATCGCATAATGGCAGAATTTATCTTGGTTAGTTGGATAATATGAACCCCTTACTAAGAAATAGGGAGATTGATTTCAACTAGTAAAATTGACCAGTTCAGTCGGTCTCTTAAAGACTCGGTTACATTAATCAATCAATAGCAATGCGCTAAATCAGTGTTTCCCAAACTTTTTGTGTACTCTTCGTAACATTGTGTACCACTAATAAAAAAATTTTCACCAAAGTTAAAAATCACAACAAGCTGCTGGCACCACTAATTATTAACTGTTAACTCAGCCAAAAATAGCCAATAGAAAAATACATAAATTTTCATGGCTAGCTTTGTTTTTAAATAAAATTTTCATTTGTTGTAAGATATTTCGCATAAAAACGCGCATCCCCTGGGGGTACGCATACCACACATTGGGGAAAATTTCTAGAATTTTTGTTGATCTTGTGGACCAACTAAACATTGCAAATTTTTTTTCCTAGTAGCAAAATAAAATTTTCACTTGCTAATTTCATCGCTGGTAAAGCGCCATCATCTTTGTACCTGGCAAGTCAATGACCTTGCGCTAAAAGTGTGAAGTGAGGCCCTTTTCACTATTTTAACATTTAGTAACTTTAGTTAAAAATTTTTGTTAATTCAGATTTGTCATTGCAAAAAACATAAGTTCATCTTGTAGTGATATGAAAACAAGTTAAATAAAATGTTCAATAATCTCAAGATTTGATAACCATTATAAATCTTGGAATGAATCATGATTTACTTTTTCATATGATGTGTTTAGCTTCAATGCTAAAATTATTGGCTTATTGTATTTACATTCCAAACCTATTAAAAAAATTAATCTTATTAAAGAAATACTGAACTAAGTTACATATTTTAATAGGGGTCATTCCTTAATTTACATTAGTAATATGAATTAAATTTTCTTAGTTTGCTTAATTCTTCATATATCCATAAATTCTGTATGATCAATAATATTAATCTTGTTGATTTTTGTTTAATATACTTATATAAATAACATTTATTAAAATTTTAAGAAATACACTTGACTCCTTTTTCTAACTTAAAAGTTTAACTAATAAAAATTATTCTTTTTTGCATAATCAAATAAAAAAATTATTAATTTAAAACGTAGAATGTGCCACTCACCAGTGAATATATTTAAAATTCTGCATAAATTGTTTTTATGGTGGCTATTATAATCAACAGTTCTTGATTATATTGATTTTTCCTGATCATGCAAAGATTTTGTTTATTGATATATATATATGAAGAACTTAGCAGTAGGAGGAATTTTTTTTTTGATTTTTGTGTATTTTATTTGTCATTAAGATTTTCTTTAAAAAAGTGCCTACAAATATTTTTTTTAGGGCGTTGAGCACAAATATTTTTGTGAGGTGCTTAATTTTTGTTGAAAAATTTGGCTACGCACTCTCTTTAGTAATTAGAAATTTACCTTAATCAACAACTAACCTCAAGTTTCCATTTTATTAATGAAATTACAAAAGATTCTAATAACAGACTATTAATATTAAAATAATTTTTTTTTCCTTTACTGGACTAAAATTATATATTTGAAAATAATAGAATTAAACCTCTTTTTAAAGTTATTTTTTTAAGAAATAATTTCATTGCCAATTTTTTACTTTTTGCAGCCAGCACCTTTCAGAGCCTAAGGTTAGAAACAAACATGATACTAGTTTCAAAAAATCATTACTGGTTTTAAAAAAAAGTCCAATTCACGCAACCCTAGGGTTCCGCAGAACACCATTTGGGAATCGCTGGTCTAAGGGTTCCTAAGAGCTGTTCAGCACTATTTCCAATTTTTCGCAATGACTGTTTCTTTTTAAATATCCAGGTCTAAGAATTGTTCTTTTTTATTTTTTAGTGCATTTTATAATAGCTGAGTAAAATATATATAAATATTGCACCTTTAAATTTGGATAATGATGTTGATTGAGAGGCATTTTTGGAGCTCTTTACTGCAAAGCGCTTATAGCCCACTTTTCTAATACATTAGAATGTTATGAGTGGATGGGTTTTGCAGTTGTACAGTATAATTTTAAGAAACAAAAATATTTTACTGAAAATTAATGCATTCAGGACTTTTAATAATTTTACACTGATGACAAAAAAAAATTATGGAAAGTAATGTGGGAAGACTGGTTCCTACCGTGTGATTTTTTTCTGGCCAATAAAAATGTACTGACAACAAAGAAATTGCGACACCGTCATCTAGATTCTTATATATAGTTAGAAATTTCATAAACAAATCGTGTAGAAAGAATCAGGTTGATATAATTAGTCAAATTGTCCTTTTGTTTTGGAGAAAAACAAGATTTCCACATTACAATAAAATATTTATATGGTTCAATTTAGCTGAAATTTTGGTAACTTAAAGTATCTATTGGAAACAATACCAAAAAAATTGGATTTAAAATATCCCTTTTGAAAGATATATCTTATACTTCTATCTTTTCATATTCAGATTATTTGGAACAACAAAATAATTCTGTGATTACTATTAGCTTAATTTGATCTTATTTATAAAATCGCCACAGGTACCCGCTGGGTAACTAGAGAGTACCAGTTCTGGCACTCCTGGCTGAATCCAGGATCGACAATACATCCCAAGTGCCCGCCATTAAAAAATAAAAATAAATCATGTTTGTAAAAATTGCAAAACTCGATAGAACAAACTTGGGGACAATATGCTAATTAAAAGACTCGGTTAGCAATTTTATGGTAATAAATCAAGGTTTTATATGCTTATTTATTATTTTAAGCAAATGTTGTAATAGATAATTAGAGAGATAAATACTGTAATCGAATTTTGTAGTTTTATAATTGATTCGTATCTTACACCTGATTTTGAAATTGATTGATTCCAATTAAATCATCAATACAGTAATCATACCAAGGGACTTTTAAATGCTGTATTAAGGGATCATTAACTAAATTACTTTTGAACAAAACTGTTAAATGGTGTTCAAATTATGAAAAGTCTCATAGTCAAAAGTATTCAAATTCTTAACACTCGCTTTCTAAGTCTGAAATGTTAAATTAAAACACTGAAGTTATCCATCAAATTGTTTAATAGTTTTTTTTTTTTAAAAACATATTGTTTTTGGAAATTTCTAATTGATTTTTTTAAGTTTTTTTTTTTTATTAATCCTTATTATGAAAGAATAGATAAAGTAAATTTTTCAGCATTTGTGGAATAATTTGATAGGTATCAGATTTCAACCATTTAACCCTTGGGAAACTATCACAATAACTGTTTTAAGTTGTTACAAATAAATCAAATTATTGGTATAAATTTTTTCTGATAAAGAATTAAGCTATTTTTATTTACAATATTTTCTGGCCAGGATAGCCTGGACTCACGTTCGTGAGAAAGGGTGTTCGAATCAAGCCGGCTGAAGACTCTCCGTGTAGTAAATAGTGGCTGGTGCAAGTTAAATCTGGCGGGTCACAAAGTCATTCATGTTCCCATAACAAGTCATACCTCTGGGGGTATTGAATTGGAGATTGATCGTTCTCTGGTTCAGGTCAAAATTACGATCTGTGGATGAATGAATGGATCCGCCCAATAAAACAGGTGCGACATATAGGTTTGAACGAAGTCGAATTCTTGGCCATAGATGGTGCCACTGGAAAACAAGAACAATCACACCCATTTTCTCAATGGCATATGACAATAACAACATTTAATAAATTTATTTAGAATACACATTAGTAGTTGTAAATCCAAACTTTGGTCAACTGTTCAACGACGGTTATAAAAAAAAAAAAAAGTGTTATATACGCCTGTCCTCAAATAAGTCGATAATAAGCTTTCTCTTTGAAAATTTACATAAAATCCATAAACCAACATTGAAAATACAGCCTACTATTTTGGCGAACAAATTTTAACCTCCTAGCCATCTCAGTTTATTTTTGTTCAGAAATAAAACAGGCTGATTGTCCCTCTGATTCTTATCTTTTGACTTTTATTTTCCTTATTCTTCCTCTGAAACCTTTCATCTTCATAGTCCGGTATTGACGTCATCAGCAGTTTAACTTGGCAGACGCTAACAGAGAAAGCTATCTGAGTTCTGAATCTAGCACATTTGCTGTTTTTAAAGAAAAATTATATGTGAAAACAAAAAATGTATTAGTATTTCCTTACCGTTTATTATTTTTACAGATTTTATTTTCAATAATTATATTTGTATGTTTTGCGATCTATCATCAATATTCCATAACAGAAAAGTATTTCTGTTGGCCAGGTAGGTAAGGAATTTTGCAAAGCCAACAAATCCCCTCACTTCAGCTTTAAAAAACTCCCCAAAAATTCTCAGCGCATATATTTAAAAATATTTAGTATTAATTTAAAACATTCAGTTTTTTAAAATAAGTAATCTACTTATGAATAAAAATAAGTGAATTTCAAACAGAAGTAAAGCAATTTTTTAAAAGTAATGCAAATTACCAGTAAGTATAGAGATTAGAATTAATGCACAAAAAGTATAAGCCTTATGAGACAGTGTCTTATTCACTCAAAACATAAATTAATTAGAAAAACATTTTAATAGCTTTTTCAATGTGGTGAAAATCTTATTGCATCCTTGAAAGTTTGATTCAGTAATTCAACTGTTTAATAACTTCTTGGTGTGCTGAGCTTGCATGCTCTACTCTAATATACTTGAGCAATTGTCAATTTCTCAGAAGGGTATTAATATTTCTCTTGTTTGGCACATTACTGGTTACATTTATTGTTCCTTACCCTAAATTCGAATATTTTTTGGTTTGCTTGACCCATTTGACTAGATACTACATTGCGTGTTCTGCTGAGAGAAGAAATAAAATAAACAAATTGTAATTTAAAATGCTCCTTTTTGTTTATGAAAGGGGAAAAAAAAGTTTCGTCTTCATTGAAAATCAGTAATTTTTTTTTTCCACACAAAAATTACTCTGAAAATTAAAATTGCTTTTTGAATGTTTTTAGATTATGTAAGAAAAGAGGAAGCACATTTTTTTTCCTTGAAAAAAAAAAACTTCCCTTTTGTTTGAACCATACTAAAGATGTGATCTGATTTTCAAAAAATAAATCTTCTAATAAAATATTAAAGTACTAAACTTGCTTATTAATAAATATAGGTGAATTAAAAACAAACAAACATTGGTAATACAAATTACCACTGGCCACAAATTATCATGGCTAAAGAGATTTTAATAACTGTACAGAAAGGTGATTGTGTTTTTTTCAAATATTTTTTTTTTACTTAAAACATAAATATATCTATAAATTAAATTTATATATATTTATAAATATAAACAAAACTTTTTTCAAAGTGGTGAAAATCCTGTTACATCCTTGATAGCTTGATTTTGATCTTGTAATTCCATTTTTTGATAACTTTCAAATTCTATAGTAAATGAACAAGTTCCAGAAGTTAATGCTCTTAACATGGAACTATATCCTTTTAGTTCAGAAAGTGGAGTTCTTGCTAAAATAATTTCAACATCTTGGCGTGCTTCCATGCTTAAGATTTGGCTACGTTTTTGTGACAAATCATTTATTACCACACCAGCATAGCCTTTACTGACAGCTATAGATAAATTCATGATTGGTTCCAGGAGATGCAATGTTGATTTTTTCAATGCAGCATTTATACATTGAGATGTAGCAGCAGTCAACATTGCAAGTGAAGTACTCTTTGCAACTTCTAGCCATAACAAATCTACTCCAATATTTATAACGGGAAAGCTTAGAAGAGGCCCATTATTTAGAGCAGTTTTAAGCCCAGATTCAATGGCTTTTAAATAATCTGATCTTATTTTGCCTAGATTGTTTTCTTTAGTCACAACAACATTCACCTTTTTCTGAAAATGACCGGGGAGACAAGGATATATTCTAAGAGTCATAGTTACCAAATGTTTGGAACCACCAATGGTTTTATTTAGAACATGAGTATTTTCAACTCCTTTGCTTAATGTTTCCTTGTATGCGACTTGTAATGGTCCCAAATAAGCATCAACTCCATATTCTGTAAGAATCCTATCTTTAATGATATCGATATGTAGCTCACCCATGCCTTTGAGAATAGTTTGACCTATAGTTTCATCATTCTCAACCTGAAAAGTAGGATCTTCCCTTTGCAAGCATTGTAGGGCAAAATCTAACTTATTTTGTTGTCCTATTGAAGGGGGTTCTATTGTGCAAAAAAACACAGGATCTGGAATATGAATCATTGGTATTTTTGAAGTTGACCCTTTTTCTAATGAGGGATATAATTTTGTGGCAGCAGATCCAGAATCGAATAATATGTCCCCAGTAACAGTCGTCTTTAAATTAGAAACAACACAAATATTACCAGCCGGTAAAGTCGCTACCTCTTCAAAACTATCTGCAAGTGGTATCATTACTTTACCAATTCTTTCTGATTGTTGTTTAGTTCCATTATAAATTCTTTGCCCACCTTTCAAATGGCCTGAGTAAATTCTTAAAAATGTCAAAGGTTCTTTACTCTTATTATGATTTGTTTTAAAAGCAAAGGCACACAAATTTTCAGAATGCTGTTCTAAACCTCTATGATATTCGGAGGGATTAGGAAGAAAATTCAAAATTGCATCCATTAACAATTGAACACCTATGTTTTTATATGAACTTCCGATCAGTACTGGTACAGCTTGCTTATGAAGAGTAATTCTCTTTAGAGCAGCAAGTAAATCACAAGATGATATTGAATTTAAATTGTCAGTAATGAACTTTTCAGCAATTAAATCATCATGATTTGCGATATTTTCAATTAATGTCTTTCTCCCTTCAAGAATTAATGGTAAATTTTTGATTTCTTCTGGGCTTAAATTTTCAGTTTGGAAGCACTGACCATCATCATTCTTATCATTTTTCCAAACATGTTTTTGAAGATGGATCAAATCTACAACGCCCCTAAAATTTTTAGTGGTGCCTAATGGAACTTGCAACAACAAAGGTTCTATTTTTAATTTATTCCTAATAGATAATAAACTCATATCAAGATCAGAGTTATTCTTATCCATTTTATTTAAGTAAATTACACAAGGCAGTTTGTAACGATTTGCCTGTTCCCAAACTTTTAAAGTTTGCACCTCAACTCCTGCAGAAGAATCTAGAATTACTAAAGCACCATCTAAAACAGATAAAGCTCTTTCGACTTCAAATGTGAAATCAACATGCCCTGGAGTGTCAATCAAGTTAATTTTATGTTTCTTCCACTTAAATGTTATTGCAGCAGATGTTATGGTGATACCACGTTCTCTTTCCTGTTTCATATAATCTGTCACTGTATCTCCATCGTGAACTTCGCCTATTATGTCAGTTCGGCCAGAATAATACAACATTCGTTCAGTTGTAGTTGTTTTCCCAGCATCTATATGGGCGATGATACCAATGTTCCGCAATTTTAGTAAATCTTCATTTATTTTCGTACATAAGTTGCGGAACTTAAAATTTAATTTGATGAAGCTATTTGTGCCTCTATATAGTGAATTATAGGCTCGAATATTTAAGCGAGTGAACATGTTCATAATTCATTAAAACACAGTAAAATTTTCAACGTGTGGTCTTTCTTAGCGACTTTGAAAAACCACATATCTTGGGATTAATGATTTGCTTGTCATTGCAGATTAATATTTGGATTTAGCAAACTTAATTAATAAAATGATTGATATTTTTGAACAAACTAGTTTGTAATACGGCAAGGACTAGTTTGTTTTTGTTTTGAAATTACAAATGGAGTTGTATTCCTTTCACTTGTAACCTCTTGTTTTCTAAAGCTAAATATAGAGCTTACAGCTTTGAAAGTATATCGATATCAAATAAAACAACTTGAACTATCGATGTTGAACCTGATAAGAGGAAATATGAAATAAATTATCTATGGCAACTGTTTCGATTTCAATGTGCATGACTCTTCTGCTGATGATTTTTAATTTTTTTTAGTTATTTAATGTTATTTTTGTTAAGCAGTTTTTCCTCGATGTTGACATTATGCGGAATATTTGTTAAAGAAGAATGAATGTTGATGTAAAATCGGAAAATATGGAATAAATCTTGTCGTCTAATTTAACAAAAGTCAGTTATGTTTACTTTCTTAAACTTTTGTGCTCATATTTCATTAATTAATTTTTGTTATATTTCCTCTTCGTGATTAGTAATTCAGGCATTGGCACTTAATAATTAAAAGTAGTTTATCTTGCTTTAAGTTCAAGTTCTTTACAATTGTATTAAATTTAGTTTCAACTGAATTTATTTGAAAAATTATCGGTTTAACGTATAATTTTGATTTTACGTTAGAAGTAAGATATGAAAATTTACCAACGTAATTTAAAAGTTTTATCACTGTTTTTGAAACTTAGCCTCAAGTTTCAAAAAGAATATTTGCATTAGCTAAGATTTATATTTGATTATCTCATCTTATCTTGCGTGTACTTACTTATCTATCTGTCAAATAATTTCTCTTCAAGTCCTTTTGTACTCTAACTCGTTGAATGCTTACAGGTATACGATATTTTTGAAAAAATATCTGAAGTCAAATTGATTTTCCAGTGTTAATTCAAAAGTAATGCTTGCAAATATTCTTATGTTACCTGTTACAAAAAAATATAGATAGATTTTTGATTATTTGAACTTAGTTAATACTTTACCACAGTTGCCTTGTGTATTTTTTTTTAAAAGAACAGTTTTTTGCGGGTTAAAAATAATTCGAAACTATGTTATTACCTTTTTGTACTTTATCTGAGGCATGTAAGTCTTTTTTTGTTAGATGAAGACATTGTTTGTGTTAAAAATGACCAATTTTGACCCTACAATGAAAAAGTATCAAAATTGGATGCATCTATGGTATATGATGTATTTAAAACTTCTTTAATATGTTTTGGGGTATAAATTTAATCGTAATAAAATGAATTTTTTTTTTTTACAAATTATTGGTAAACATGACAAGTTATAGTAACAACTATAGCTGGTTATTGTATTTTTTAAAATCATTTTGAAAGTGGTAGTAGTATGGTGATGCCTGGAGTAAAGAGTTAATTGGATGAGAAGTGTAATCATTGGATGAGGTCACAAAATCTTAATTGTAAAAAGGTATAAAATAAAACTTGGATAGATATGTTATATTACAATGATCTAAATCTAGTGGTTAAAGTAGGGCTCCACGAGTAGTAAAACTATAGTCCTTAACTTTTTCATAGTTTGTGTTATATTGGGCTACCTTTTAAAAAAAAGTGAATAGTGTGATAAAAAACAGTTCTTAGCAATTCCTGGCAACTTATTTTAACGTTAGTTTAGTAAAAACAAGATTCAAACAAAAGTAATAATTCGAATCTGATAGGTACAAAACTTTGTAGGCCCGTCAATGGATGGATTGAGAATGCCTACTGTGCTTAAGTTCAATAGGAATTACATCTGATGCTCGAAGTTTTTTTTTGCTACTGAGTTTGGCAGCAGTTGTCTCTTTCGTTGTTTTCTGGAAATCTTGCAATCAAAATCGCTAGTGTAATTCATTGCAGGGGTACAGAAAATTCTTAGAGTTTAATACTTCCTCAGAATGCATTTTTTTAAATATGAAATATCTCTCTAATTCATTTCCAATTTATACTACAATTTATACCAATTTATACTTTATATACTATATTTATGATTATTACTATTTTTCTTTTAGAAAAGTTTGTATATGATCTTTTGACAATAAATTTTTTTACCAAGAATAAACTGGAATATATGTAGAAAATAATAGAAATTAAAATATATTGAAATAGTAATAATTTATAAAACTAAATGTAAGATCTCTCTCTTGAACTTATGAAATTCAATCTAATAAATAAAAGAATTGTCATATAAAGTTATTTGTGTTTAACTTATTAGAAAATATTCTTTTTAGGTAGTTAATTTGTAAATTATAAGGAATATGCTCAAGTAAACTTTAAAAATTTACATTTTAATACTTAAATGATAAATTACTTCATCTTCCTTATGCTTTATTTGTCCAAATACTTAATTTTTTTTAGAAGCAAGATTAAAAATAGTCAAGTAGTCTAATAAGGTTTGGTTAAAAAAGAGAGCACAGAAGCATTCTCTATTTGTTTAAAATAAATGCCTGTTCATCGTCATAATTGACGATTTTCTTTTCCTCATGCACGCTATCAATGATCTTAGATGTTTTATATACGTTAAATGTATGTTGATTAAATCCTAATAAAATTATATTTTTCACTATGGAAATGTCTATTTCCATAGTGATCCTTATTTTTCACTATGGAATCTAAGGACTATTTTAGAAGATTGTTGCTGTGTTTTGCTTTCAAATGAAAGTTTTAATACATCTGTCTATAAGATGAATTACTTCTGAAATGATGAAATCAAAAACAATGTTTTTAATAATAAATAGGTATGAATTTTTTAGATATTAAAATTTTAATAATTATTTAAAAAATAGTCTTTTTGATTTTTATCGGACATGGCTATCTAGAGAGTCCTTAGAATGCGGGGAGGCATGTAAACCTTCTCCTTGGCATGACCTTCTGATGGCTCTAGAGAAAGTAGTTAATAAATATTGAGTTTTTGAAAATTAGTGTATGTGTCATTCCCTGTTGTACTGATTAATCTTTTTTTGCCTAAACATCAAAAATAATCTAACTTTTATATAATTATGCAAATGAATTTATTAGCTTTGTTAAAAAGTTACACTGTTAAAAGAAATTGTATTTTTTCAGGTTTTGATTTTCAAAAGGATTCGTCTACAACTCTGAGGCCTTTTTGTACCTTGTCTAATGAAACTATTAATTAGCTTCTGAATTTTGGTGCTTGCTCCTACATTGTAGAAAACATTAAAATTGGAACCAGTGCATGAAAGAATAAAAACAGATTGAGCAATGTCATTGAATTAAAATTGTTAATAGTATAGGCAATTTATCAAATATTTCTTTAATTTTAATTTTTCTTTGTTACGGGACATGAGATGCTAAAATAACTAAAACGGTGCCAAAAATGGTGATTTTTCAACCATATCCAATGAAACAAAGTTTACTACAGTTTTTTCTTCCTAAATATCTAGAATTCATTAAATAAATATGGGTATTTGCATCTGTAAAGATAGGCAATCTGAGTCAGATGAAGAAACAATTGCACGTCAAAACCCTAGAGACTCAGTGAATTCTTTATCTGCTGAAACTGATCATTTAGTACCACCAATAGAACGCTATGACCCTGTTCATAGAATTTTGGATCTTATGGTTACAAGACAGTCTGTGGATAAGTTAGTCATGGAAACATTGTCTGTTATTAGGACTTTTGTAGATAAGTAAGTAAATCTTGTATAAATTCATTTTGTATTTGAAGAATTTAATCACTCTGATTCTCACATGTTTTGTGAATGGATATGCTAAGCATAGAACTAGCATGTAAAAGAATTATAAAATAAAAATGTATGATCCCTTTTTGATTAAAATAATTTTTTTTTCCTTTGCAAGTTTAAATATTGAATGAATATAATTCATTGATTTTTAAAGTTTTTAATCTTTACTTATGTTTATTTTTTAAAAAAGTTGTTAAGCCCCTGCTTATTTAGTTTTCTATATGTTTATTAGTAATCAGTTTTTGTGTTAATGTTCACGTAAAATATTTTAAATTGTTTTATCATTTCTTAATAATTTTTTGATATGTTATGAATTAATCTATCAATTTTTTTTTTGTTTGAGTTACTGAAATGAATGATTTTTTAAAAAAATATTAAGTGATTAAAATCATGACTTAAATTGGTGATTTTAATAATTTAATTTTAATTATCAACACCTGCATAGAATCTTAGCTTATTTTGTCAAGTTTTCTAGTAAGTGGGTGAAAATTGAAAAATATGTTTTATAAACAAAACAACTTTTAAATGTCCTACAGCTGATTTACTATTTTTTATATGATTTACATAGTTTAAATTTGCAGATTTTGTGTGTATTGCTGCTAACAGCCAAAGATTTGAAAATGTAAAAATTGAAAGAAAATGTAAAGAAGTTATGTTTAACCTAAACTGTTTTCTGCTCTCAGTATCTAAAGCTATAAACACATTTTGGATTGAGATAGTGATTTTGCAGAAAACCTACTGCTAAAAATGTTTGATTTCTGTAACCCATTTTTCACCAATAAATTTAATGCAGTGCCCCGCTACTTATTTAAATCAGATTAAATTTGGGGATATGACTCAGATTAAATTTGGGGATAAAAGACTATTTATTTTATCAGTGGCATATCATTTATGAGGAAAAAAAAGGTGGTTTCAAAGAACTTTACAAATACACTTAGAGCTAAATAAATTAACTACCCTCGTATTTTATTTTAGCTGTTTTAATTTACATTTAACATTTTAATTAAATATTCACAAAATGGTTTTAAAATACAGTAGAAGATCTGTTTAACATGTTTCTGTAAATCACAATTCTCCATTAAACATACTAGCTTTTGGGTATAAACAATGAAATTTGCAGTTAAAAAGTCTCTATAACTATGCAAGAACTATTAACTTTTTATATTATCCGTTTAATTATTTGCTAAGAAATAAAAATTTCAAAGTCTGAACAAACCAAAATTGATTAATTTCTTTGTTACTAGCTATTATGCTGCAGAAATTTATAATTTTTTCTTCTTCTGAAAACAATAAATACTTAAGTACATAGTTTTTTTTAAGTATTTGTATCTAAAATCTGTTCCAGACTAATATTGCCATATTTAGTAGATTGGTGGAATAATCTATATAACACAACATTCCATAAAATGCAAACCTTCAGGCTTCAAAATTTGCGCTATGAAGATCTTCTACTGTATTAGCATATTATTGTTTAAATAGCAAAACTTGAATGTAAATATTCAACATCGTATGAAAGTTTCTGATGAATTTTCCTAAAGTCCTGTTTCTATTTATGGCTCTAATTACATTTCATTTGTTTCAGTGATATTGAACCTCCTGAATCTATGACACAACTGCACATGATTGCTGATTCAGAGATAGGATGGCTAACATTAGTTCGTTCACTAGCTCATGTTGTTCCAATGGACGATCCTTTGGGCCCCGCTGTTATAACATTGTTATTAGATGAATGTCCATTACCTACAAAAGTATCATTAGTTTTTATTTCTTTTAATAATCTATATTTATTTGTCTAAATACCAACATTTCTTATTTTAACAGCAATGCTCATGGCAGGGAATATAATTTGATCCATTATCTATATTTCTTCCATTTATATTTTTTCCATAAATTTGGGAATAAGATTGAGATTTATTTTTATAAAATGAATAATATTATTTTTAATTTATACATCTGCATATGTTAATACCTAGATATTGCTATTTAATACCTTGTTCCGTAGCACCTAGTTTATTTAAAAATAATTGTGACAGAGAATATTTCTGAGGATCAAATTTTATCATTATATTAGTATTTTTTTTATTGTTCAGCCAAGAAAATAATGTTATCTTTAATAATGAAATGAAGTATTTTTCTGTGTGTCTGTCTCTTAACTTCTGAACTTGGGCTAACATCCTAAAATTTAGACAGTTTAGGAAAAGGGAAAGGGCAGTTTTAGCTCCATTCATGGTAATAAGTTCTTAAGTAATTTTGGTAATAAGTTCATATTGAAGTAAACAATATAATCTATGCCCTAAAAAGCAAAGTTAATGGAGAAAATGTACTCATTTGCTTAGGGGAGTTTATTTGTTGTTAATAAAATTCACTATGCGATTATTGATGCCACTGATGTTTAATGTATTTTTGTATTATTTATTAAAGGAATTAAAAAAAGAAAACTATGTACAGAAAAGCAAAATTAATGGAGAAATGGTACTAATTCATTTAAGCGAAGCGTGTAGAATTGCTAAACTATTGATGCCAATTATTCTTAATTGATCTTGCTAATAGCTACTAATTGAAATAAAAATAAACTCTGTATTAAAAAGTAAAATTAATGGAGAAATTATTCTAAATTCTTTAGAAGAGAGGTAAAAAATCGTTGTACTATTATTAATGACAATGATTCTTAATTAGTTTTGATAATAGGCGTTACTGGTATTATGCTAATTGGTACAGTTTTAATCTGTTCCAAATACTAATACGGAAACTATACATTATTATATTTATTTATTTAGTACTTGTTAAAACTGCGTGAATACTGTACTGCTTTAATATAGATACTTTGGAAAGAGGGGAGAGGGTTTCTTAAAAAACCATTTTAGTCATAATTCTTTTAAATGATTTTTTTTCTATCTATTAATCTATTAAAGCTTTTGTTTTAACAAACAAATTATCCCAGTTTTTAATAAATTGGGCTCAAATATTTTAAATCTTGAATCCTTTAAATTAAAATGTGCGCAATTTTTAAAAAAAAAAAAAAAAAAAAATCGAAGTGTTTTAAAATTTTAACTGACTTAGTTTTTCGTTTACTAGATTATATTTTACGTTATTTAAGAGAAAATGTGCTGCTGAGCTAATGTATCAATAAGAAAAGCTAATAAAAATAATATAAAAAAACAGCAGATGTACTTCTTGTTGCTTTAAAACGCAAATTGTGAAAAAGAATAGTAATGGGGCTTAGATGAATGTTGTGTGACTAGTGATTATGTTTATATATTATATCACAGAGGTTTTCTTTTTTAAATGCATTTAAATTGTAACTACAATTTTCATTCCTAGGAATTATTAGAGAAGATGGCAAAAATATTTAATTTATCAAGACATCAAGCTAATAATGGGAAATTATGTCCAGCTCGTCAAAGGAACATCTGTGTCATTCTGGGCTGTATAGCAGAAAAATTAGCAGGTACAAAATATATATATATATATTCAATATTTTTTCTAGAAGTATACATATTTTTTATTTATTTTTAAATTGAATATATTTATAGGCCCTGGAAGTACAGCACTTTTAACAAATGATGTGATGGAATTTCTTTTTACAAATCTAGTAAGTCTGTTTATTTATGATAAAAAAGATCTACATCAAATTCAAAGAAATAAATATTCTGAATTAATTTTTTTAGTAATTTAGTTTATTTCTAATTAGTGTAAAAACTCTTTTTTGTATATCTGTTGCTTCAAAAATTATATAAAACATTTCTGAAGCACATTTTTATCTTAAGTTAATTTCTGAATAAAGATGCGGAGCAAGATTCTCATTAGAATTGATTTTCAGTTGAAAATTAGAAACTAAAAAGAAATAGATTTAAAAAAATTAAAATTTAATAGGGAAATAAATCTTAATGTTCTTAGCATCTGATCTTTATTAAATATGAAAGCTTTTTGGTTGTCAAATCCCAAAATAGTTTTCAATATTTTTTTAATGCTTTTGCTTTTCATGCATCAATATAGCTATGTAGCTACTAACTCTGCTAGTTATTGTCCATTTCTCCTAAGCTCTTGCTTTAATCAAAATTTTCCTGATTTTTGCACATTTAAAAAATTCCATAAAAATGGGAAAATTTATAAGAAAATATCGAAATAGTTGCTCAGTTGATTGCTTGATTATTTATATAATTAATATTACTAATTAAGGAACGAAAACTCATTTATGGTGATCAATTTGAAACTTCTATTATTTTTTGAATATCCTAAAAAAAAATTTCATTCAGAAAAATCTTACATAAATTTAATATCTTCAAAATTAATAATTTGAAAATTAACCTGAAAACTCTTAAATTACAGTCCATTTGATGTCAATCATGAATGGAAAGTTTGTAGCCAATTTAAACATATAGTTAATAGTGCCGTATAGTTTTTGTACTTTATTTGACTGCTAAAAGCTCTCAAATTTCCTCCAGCTGCATATACCATCAATATTAAACAAAAGTTAACATGAAATTTATGTTATTACAAAATACTTACAAATCAATTGTAAGTATTTTTCTGACACAACAGTGATGTAGTAGTAACTTTTGTTTTAATATAAAAGGAGTATTATCATTGCGTTACACTTAAATATAACATAATCACTTATGTTTTAGCAATCTTTTTCTCTTAAAGGATCTCTGACTGATAGCTTGTAAAACTGAAACATGGTTTGAATTTGTATTTATAAATACATTTGGTTTCAATGATTTTTATGATAAATACGAGTGAATGTTAGTGTTAATTTAGCTCATTGGTACTTCACAATATCTATAGTCTTATTATCTCATTAGAGATATGAGTTCCATCATTTATTAGTTTTACATTATGTTTCTGAATTATTTGTTTCAAGTCATTAATTTTATCTTTTTTTCCTCCCACTAGGACCCGATTTTTCATAAATCAGTGATTATATTTTCACTTATTGCCTTGGAAAAGTTTGCACAAACAAGTAAATCAGTTTTCATTTCACTTAATTTTTATATTATATAAATTTCTATTATATATTTAACTAAGGTTTATTTGTAACTTAGTAATTTATTTAATATTTTATTAAATGGTATTTTTTTAATGAAAATAATGATTAAGGGGAAAAAATGGTTTATGTCCATGAAAGCTGATTCTGTGAAATTTTTTTTTAAGGTTTGAGAATTTTAAGGAGCAAGCATTCGATTGAAATCATAAAAATAAGAATATACACAAATGTCACAAGCATTTATTTACACCCCTAAAAAACTTAATGAAAAAATTTTGATGTTGTGAAAAAAATGTTAAAAAATATGATGGATAGGAACCCCCTTTTTCTCCAAAATTCCTCTCCAATTAATATTTTCTCAATGATCTTCCTGTTGTCTTCTCAGGGTTCGTAGTTGTCCTGATTTTCCTAATGAAAAATATTTTGTCCTTATCTCTCCTGATTTTTAACTTTTTATCCTATTTCCTTTTCTATGAATACAAATGCAGATTATTGATTTTAAGAGCAAAATTTCATTTCATCTTGATCTTGAAAGTTAAGGAGTCTTAAAATCGATTGCAAATTTTAATGAATTTTGATTTTTATATGAGGGAATATTAACTTGTTGATACAGTTTCCTTTTAATGCAACAGTGCTATAAAATTTTCCTTATACATTGATCTAAAAACTATGAGCTTTTCAGTGCTCCATTAATAAAATTACAATGAAAACTGTTAAAAATTTCTGTTCAAAATAAAGTAATTTAAAAATTATAAAAAATATTGTAATTCCACAATTGGCATTACATATTTCCTAGTTTTTAAAATATCTTAAATTACTTAAACTTACTTTTTTTAATCGAATTGTATTTAAATTAATTGCTATAATTACATTAATTTAAAAATATTTGAAATTTTTGTTTTTTAATTTCTGATTTTGTTATATTGTTTCAATCTTTCATGTTATCTTACACTAATACTTGTTATTATATTAAAAAAGATTTGGATTTAAACAAAATTGGCGATATTTAGTGCCACTTTTTATATCTTTAAAATCTTCTACGATAAAATAATAAAAATTTAGTCAACTGGAACATTAAGTTTCAATTGTTTACTAAAATAAACAATAATGAAACACAATGAGTACACAATCTTACAATAAAGTAAACAAAATTAATTTTACTATTAGTGAATAACATTTTGTTCCCATGCATTCGGTTTGCAAATAAATTGTATGGTTTCTAACTAAAATGTGTCTAAATTGAATTATATTTCTTTGTTATTTAATGTTTATAATTTTAGATAAAATAATTAGTGAAAAGGTATGATGTTTATACTTGTTTAGTTAAGATGAGTATAAGTACTTAGAGTAAATAAAACTGTATAAAGAATAACGATGAAACTTCTTTTCTAGCAGCAAAATAACTTGGGCCCTCATTGGGGCGATACTCATGAATCTTGGCTCAGTAAGGGTTTAAAGGACCTTTATTTTTCCGTCATTGGCCTTATATAGAACTTTCCGATACACCTGATATTTTACAGCCACTTTACCACCAATATTGATCCTATATAAAATTGTCAGATTCACCCAATATTTTATATTCATTATTTAGCCAATATGGGTTCTACATTGGGCAAAGTAGGCCTTATATAGGCCATTCTAGGACCCATATTGAGCCAATTTTGAACCCAACTGGGGCCAAGGTAAAATTGTTGCTAGGGTTGATTCTTATTTACTTCAGTCAACCACTCCTTTTGATTCTGTTATAATGGGTTTGATGCCAATACAAACTTTAAAAAGTATTGAACTACGTAATAAGTTATTCTTATTCAAATTTTTAAATTGAACTTTTTTAATTAGGCAATTAGCTGTTATTGCCGATATTATCTACTTAATATGTATGACGAGATTTGACATTTAAATTTTTCTTTTTCAGGCGACAATAAGGCTACCATTAACCAGTACATCAAGTCCAAAACTAAAAATCCATTAGAAAGATTAGAAACTTTTGTTAATAGCTCCAATTATTTGTTTAAGCAAGTAGGATTTTGTGCGCAGTGGTGTTTAGATAATTTGTGTAAGTTATTATTTTTTTCATATCAATCTATTAATGTTAGTGGATTTTTTTTGCAGGATAATCTTTTAAATGCTGGATAGTTTTATATTTTTACTTGATAAAATTTTTGAATCCTTATGTTACTTTTCAAATTAAGACTGGAAAAAAATATTTTAAAGACTTTATTTGCTAATTCTGCAAAAAGTTATTTTATAAATATTATATTGGTGTAACTTTCAGGGTATCCGTGCACCTGGAAAGTCATGAATTTTGGTATTGGACAAAATTTGTCATGAAATGTCATGATTTTAACTATTTTTTTAAAAAATAAATCGTGGAAAGTCATGGATTTAAATCTACGCAAAATCTAATTTTCAAAATGGATTTTACACCTCCCCCCAATTGTTCGAATGTCTGAATGTGTAACAAAATCCCCACTCACAGTCTTGTTTTATTAAAATATAAAATGTTTTTATCATGTTCTTTAAAAATTATGGTGTTCTTTTTAAAAATGAAAGAAAAGGCATCATTTCGAGAGTGAATTATCTTTTAAACTTCTGTGATTTCAGAATTTTTATTATTATTTTTATTTTTTTATTTTATCAATGTAAAATTTTAGCTGAAGCAAACCAGTCATTGAGGAAATTTTTTATTCTGAAATGAGTACAGAAGAATCGGGAGTATTTCTTTCCTTTCCGATGAACAAGAAAAGTATCTAGAACATAGATTCTCAACCTTTTTAACGTAGCCGCCCCCTTAATAAGCTAAAAACATTTCAACGCCCCCCTTTGTGATAATTCAGTTATTTAGAGCATGAGGACGGGGGGAGGGTGCTGAATTCTAAGATGTATTTTTAGGCAATTTTTTAAGTGCTAAATTTGCATGTTTTTTTTTTTTTTTTTAAATTTAATGTGTACGTTAACTCTATAATTTTCTCCCAGCAGGTAATCGCAGTCTATTTGTCATAATAAAAATAAATACGGTAATGAAAAAAATAAGTTCAACAAAGAAAACTGCTTAAAAGATGCTTAAAAAGAGTCACTTGTTCTTAATTAGATAATTAAAAAAAATACCCAAAAATAAAAATAGTAGTATTAACGAAACAATCAAGTTACTATGTCAGTGGAATGATTGTACTTGATGGTTCATAGCCAATTTCTTAACGTTCGGTTCAATGTTTTTGCTGAGGTGAAGACGCAAGTCCCCTCGTTGCATCATTTCGAGTCCATTTCTCTTTTTTGTGACTTGATCCATAACAGCACTGAATCCACGTTTGACGAAGTAGGAGAAAGGGAAGGAAATTAAAAATTATTTTGTAAATAAGAATGAATTTTGAAAGTCCAGAGAAGAGGCGACTGATGTTACCTTGAAGCAAAAATTCTGTGAGTTATCACCATTTCAAAGCTTCATTAGTTGAAAGTTTGATCAATTCCTCCTGAATCTGAACCTCTTCTGTTTCAATATTCAAAAAAGAATTAATAACCCATTGAAGGAAATAGAACAAAACACATTTATAACGGTCAGAAAAGTCCCTGTGCAAAGAGTCAAGGTGTTAACTATATTCTTGTGTATCATTAGAGGAAATTTCGCCATTCTTTTCAAGATACGATAAGATTTGAAATTGGTTGAACTCATTCCTACCAAATTTCTGCTTCCAAAAAATAAGTTTTTTTAGAAATGTAGAAATAGCTGATTTCGTAGGGATCAAATTGAAGTTGCAAATTAACGCCATTAAATTTTGCATATAAATCTACCAACGTCTATCTTAAATTCTAGCAATCTGTCTCTCAGAGCTTCTGTTTTCGAGGAACTCAAGCACAGAGTCGAAAAGATTCAAAAACCCATGGAGACAAGGCTCCTTTGGAAATCCAGCGAATCACGGTGTAGTAGCAAGCGATATTCTTCATAGTTTTTTTTAAACAGCTGTCTGAGTAATGAATCGTTGAGAACGTTACTACCAATTTTGTTCGCAGCAGATATGACATATTGCAATGACTGATACAAACGGTCGCTGAGATTTTTCTTACCAAATACTGTCTGTGAATCACGCAGTGAACTGCTAAAATATCTGGTACCACCCTCTTCAAAACGGCGAAAAACCCACCATGTCGACCCACTATTGCAAGGGATATTTTTGATTAAATCGGATGAGGCTGGATAGTGTAAAACTGTTCCTAAAATTTTCTTAACAGCGGCAGTATCAATTCTTTGCCGATGGTATGACATTTCCCAGATTTAGCAATTAATTTTGATATATTATAAGAACTTATCAAACCATCATCGCATTTTTGTGATTAGGTTGTTAGTAAGCCAGAGGCTAAAGGTGCCTTCCGAAACTTGTCTTTGATGTTCTTATTTTGTTTGAGAGAATGAGTATTTTGCAAATGCTTCTGCTAACGGGAAGGCTCCATTGTCTCATTATATTAAACTTTGTTATAAAATAAATTCATGGGGGTAGTTGAGAGTTCGACAGCGATTGAACAAATCTAAACTTCAAGTACGTGGCACTGTATTGAATATACTTCTTTATGTTAACCGACATTGTTGGTGGCAGTAAAATACGAATGAAAGAAAATCAACTGTTTATTCAAATTAATAAATAATTTACAATTAAGAACTAATTCACAAACGTACCTGGCCGAATAAACAATGAAACTGGGTAAAAAAACTGCTGTCGAACAAATTAGGAATGCGAATCGAAACTGGGTAAAAAACTGCTAGAAAGCAAACTAAACCATCATAAGAAACATGGGTCAAATCAAACATTTTTACAAAAAGTGCGTGAACTTTAATTCTCCCCAAATGTCTTGAATATCAGAGGCAAAAACTACTGACTCATGCGCTGTGCTGAGGTGATTCGGGTCGGAGAATATGTGTTGCATAAGTTCGTTTTACTGTTGGTACTAATGTTGTATCAGATAATCTAAATTTATTATATTAATTTAATCTTTTTTTATCATTAATTTTAGAATAATTTTATTTACTAAATGATTCTTAATTTAATAATTTTATTTGGGAGTATTAAAATTAAATTTGAATAACATGATCTGCTCATCGCCCCCTGCCGCCCAAAACATACCTAACGCCCCCCTGCCGCCCAAAACAAGTCCACCGCCCCTCAGCATACTCCCAACGCCCCCGTTGAGAAACACTGATCTAGAATATAATTCTGCAAGAAAAAAAATTATTTGCTTTTGTAATTTTTCCAGCTATTTTATTGCTTCGACGTTTTCTTTACTCTGTTTTTTAAATTTATAAATATGAAGAGTATATCAGTTGTGGTTGTACCTATCATTTCAGTGAATGTTATTATAATGCTTTTTTAAATTTATTGTTGTGTTTTTGTCGGAGAAAATAGTAACTTCATTAAGTCATGAAAAATTCTTGGAATTAGTCATGAAAACTCATGAATTTGAAAATCTAAAATGTAGCAAATACCCTGAACTTTGTTTTTGTTAAAATTCACACTGAAATTTTTTTAAACATATAAATTTTTTAATTTTATTGTTGAATTGTATATCCTAGTCTTGTAATAACAACTATGAGTGACATAGAAAGAATTACTATAACCAATAACTATAGCTAATAATTATAATAACAGGTACTTAATCATTGCAGACGTAAAGCCTCATTTTATTATACTAGTTTCTTATTTATTTTTTTAGAAAAAAAACATTTTCATAAATACACTTTTTTATTTCTGATCTTAAAAATGTTAGTAATTTAATTTCATAACGTTAGGTTTCTTTCAATTATGATTTCTGAAAATGTAATTATAACATTTAGATTATTTTTGATTATCTTTGACAGTTTATAGGCATGAAGAAATGATTTACTTTTTGCACTTATTCCAGATTGATGCTGCTGTTCCAAAAGTGCTTTATTATTCTTTGTTTCCTTTTGTGTTTGAATTATCTGAACAAAATAAGCATTGTTTAAAACATGAACAATTTAATAATTAACAGCATTTGTTTAACTGTTGTATGTAGCTGCTCTTCTGCCAACCTCAAGAAAATGGAAACAGAATGTCACTTCACTATTTGATAGTTATTTTGCGAAGAAGTTTCTAAAATGTTCTTGGTTTCTCGAGAAAAAAAATCGCAAAACAGAGAAATTCACAAAATAGAAGTCTGACTGTAGTTTCTAAATGTCAAATTTTTGGAGGAAATGACAATTAATGCGCCTGAGAGTCTTTTCCTGGAAAGATATGAAATTCGTGCCAATGACAAAATAAACAGTATAAATTCCATAATTGTTTGTATTGTCCCTTGCAATTGACAATCTCAAATTTAAAATGCTGAATCAATAAGATGAATAAAAAGATGTTGTTTTTATTTAAGTAATGAGGTACAAAGTTGAAATATATGCAGGTGATTATCTAAATTAAATTAAGTGCGAGTAAATGGTTTAATTCTTTTCTCTTCAATGATAAAAATATTGAATTTTTGTACTTTAACAAACAGCAAGAAAGAATTTGTTGGTTGCATTGAACAGGTGCTCCTTTTTTTTAAGTTCCTTTGCTGATTTTAATCTATTTCAAATGCAAATATGGAATAAGGAGAAATTCTCTCTATATGATTAGTTACACTTTAATTTTATTGTGATCATTATAAAATAAAAATGTACTAAAACTACTAAACTCAGTGACACGACAGCCCATCGAGGGCCAAGGCCTACTGTGCCCATCTCAGTTTTCTTGACCTTGGGCTCTGGGGTGCAGACGTTCCGGATAGGTGGTCAGCCGAATGCGAAACCCCCAGTGTTTAGTTCTCAATCATGCTTGTTACTCATTTATCGACCCACTAAAGGGATGAAAAGCTGAAAAATAAAAATTTATCACATTTAAATTATTGTGCCATATATTTTGCATCATAAAATTTGTAATTTTTTTATGTATGTATTTAAGATGAACTAATTTGATAGTTTATTTTCTTTTTCATGTGGGGATCCAACTGCAGTTATCAAAAAGGTAGATTTAAGTTTTGTTATTTTTTACCTATTTAAATTGTATTTTGTAGTCTTACATGTTTCCTCTAGAGTAAATTTCAATTAAATCTTGAGTTTGTGCAACAGATGTGCTTTAAATTTCAAGATAAAAATATGAAAAATCTATTTTTCAGCATATTATATTCAAAATATATTTTCTTTATAGCTTTCTGTTTGCATTATATAATTATTGTTAAAAGAAGCCTGTGATTCAAAGTTGTTAAATTGATAATCAATGCCTTGAGCTTTCTATCAGTTTTATTTAAAGTAGTTAAATTAAATTTCGAGTTTGTACAGAAGTTAAAGGCGATGATGTAGGCAAAAAAAAGAAAAAAGTTTTATTGACTTTTCCGTATAATTTTTTGCTAGCATTACATTGTTATTAGTATTAGGGGATAGTGTTTGTGATTAAAAAGCTTTTTGATGCTAAGCAGTTCTTTCATATTTTACCTGTCTCTATTTTAAGTCAGATCTTGATTGTTCCAAATCTTTTATTTAAAGCTGAAATTATTGAAAATTTTAAGATCTAAGCAAAAAACTTTCAGTATGATTTTTACAGTTATAAATAGTGTGAACTTTCTCTATTTTGACAACAATTTGAACTTTTACTATTTCTGACTTATTTTGTTTTTGTTACATATTTATAGGATAGGCCTTTTACTTATGAATCAATTGACAGAAGTAACTTGAATGCTATGCTCAATAGTAATGATGTTAGTGAATATTTGAAAATATCAGCTGATGGTCTAACCGTAAGTTGTAATAAATACTGTAATCCATAGTTAATCTATTTAAATGTTAGTGATTTCATTTATATATTAAATTATATAGCTTAAGGGTATTAGCTATATGTTAATAGATAAGTGAATACATTGTAAATTGAGACTTGATTTTTATTGGAAGTTTTAGTTTTTATATCCTTCCAACTTAAAATTTTTTAAATTATTCTGCTTCGAAGTGTACTAATCGTTTTTGATTCTTTTAACAAGAACTAATTTTATTTATTTAATTTTTCTCATAGTCTTACTTTTTTCGCATTTAGTTTTTTAATTTAATTTCTAGTTTATATTTTAATTTTTAAAGAAATTTTTTCTTTCTACATACCCATTATTTTAGAAATTATACAAAAGATTATATTGAAACAAGCTTTAAGACTCGTTTTTATTTATTTTAATATGATAGCTTGTGTTAAAAATCGATGATTTGATTAACAAAATTGACAAGTAAATTACCATCAATTTTGATTAGAATATATGAAGATGATTTTAAAACATATTATAAAGATGGGAAAAAACATTGAAATAGAAATGATTCTCGTCACTTAACATAAATTTCAGTTAATTGTTGTTAATAAAAATTTTATAAATTCACAATTAGTTAAATATGTTAGAAATGGATAAAAACCTTTTTTTTTACAAAGTTTTTTTTTTAGGCCCGATCTGATGCATCTTCATTTGAAAGTGTGAGATGTACTTATCAAGTAGATTCTGGTGTTTGGTATTATGAAGTTACAATTGTAACTTCAGGTGTCATGCAAATTGGCTGGGCTACACGAAACAGCAAGTTCCTAAATCACGTTAGTAATATCTGATTAAATTTCTTATGTAGGTAGTTGTTATACAGTATATTTTTGACTAAAATCACAAGTCGATTTTTATTACAGTTTTTAAACTTCTAATTACAACAACCTTAAATTACTAGGAGCTATATTTTAGAATCTTCACTATTTTAATGAATTATACATTTGATAATACTTCAAAATACACATGCAATATTTATGTGCATATTTCAAAGTGTATAATGTGATATTTATAATAAAAATTTGTTTTAGCTTTTAAATTCAAGAAGTAATAGTTTCTAGAAAGCCAATATTATCTGGATGTCTGGCTCTTATCTTATTAGAATTGATTAACAAAAATTATTGATAAACATTAGCCAATTTGAAGGAATAGTCTTGATTTATCCATGAAATAAATTATTGCAATCCATCTAAAAATTTATTGTAATTGGTAAAACGCAGCCACTTAAGTGTACTTTCAAAATTCATCAATGACGTTTTATTTTCATCCGCAATCATCACTTCTCAATTATTGTCACAGTTCTTCTCAGTCAAGATTATCAACGATATTTTTGTTTGTTTCAGAGTTGTTAAAGAAATGTTGAACTAAAAATATTTCTAAATGCTCACATAGCTTATTATGTATTATTAAAGTGCTTATAATAAACTGTGCTTTTTAGTAACTAAATTGCAATTTCTTTCCTGAAATTTATATAAAATGTAGGGATTCTTAAATTAGCAATTATTAATTTTATAAGATACATTAGCATATTACAACTATATTATTGTATGTGTTTCAGTATAAATAAGTACAATTGTTTTATAAATGAATATTTTTTTTTGAAAAAAAGGCAGACTTTTATATGAGATTTTTGATTCTATAAGTATATACAGCGAAACCACTCTCCGTTCCACAGTAAATTGGTTGTTGATGGAGATTTGTCATTCTTAGAGGTTACCTCCTTTGTCTTCAAAATTGTTATCGCAGACACAAAATTTTTCGAACGATTTTAATTTTAGTTAGTGTTTGCAGGAATGCCACTTTTGTTGGCGTCATGAAAAGAGGGATCGTTGAATAAAATTTAGCATCTCTAAAAATAATCCCAACTGATATAATTATGTGTAAAAACAAATTTACCAATTATAAATGATAAAGCTATTTCAAATTAATACACAATTATTATTATTTTTTTTTTGTTTAGTTAGCTTTAAAAGATGAGAAGAGGTTTGTTCAAGATGGTTGTTTTTATAAAAAAAAACTTTTTTTCTTCTAATTTAACTTCCACCTCTAAAAGTAAATCATCAATATAATTATGTGTAATCATGATATAATTTAATTATGTGTAAAAACAAATTTACCAATTATGAATAATAATGCTATTTTAAATAAATAAAGAATTTTTTTTTTTTAAGTTTGCATTTAATTTTACATCATAAAAATTTAATCTACTTATTTGTTTTGTTTAATTTTTATTTTAAACTTTTCTTGTGTTTCCTTCTTTGACCTTTTCCCCATTTGGTGCAGATGTATGCTTGGTCGCTAGGAGAGGTTTTAATGGTCTCTCCTAAAGGTTTTCTTCAGCACAAAATCTATGAAAAAAATTCTGTGAATCTCAAACTGTACTTATTTTATAACTGTACTTAAATATATATTTTTTTAGGAAGGCTATGGCATTGGAGATGATGAGTATTCAATTGCTTATGATGGATGTAGACAGCTCATTTGGTATAATGCAAAATGCAGTCCTCATCAACATTCCTGTTGGAAACCTGGCAAGTATCAATATTCAAATTGTACTAAAAAAAATACTGTATTTAGAGTTCTTTTTTTAATTATTTTATGCAAATAAACTGCAATAATGAAATTTTCTTGACTATATTTTTGAAACATATTTAAATTCTAACTATGAAAATAAATATACTAAAGCAGTAAAGCATTCAGCCAAGACAGTCACGAGGTGTAACGAATCAAGCTATATTAAGAAACAGTTCTTTTTTTTAAAATAAAAACAGGTTAGTAATAACCTTGCAAAAAAATATCGAAAAAACCCTCAGTGGGTTAGTATAAACCTCAAATTCAAAAACTATTTTCTCAAAAATTAACTTTCTGATGATGTACATTTAAGGAGAGAAAAAAAAATCTTACTTAAATTTTTTTTTTCTAAAATAGATAGCATAGTTTGCTTAAGTTTTGTTTGTGAATTTTTAAAACATAGAGCTCCGTCTCAGAGATGCAAAAATGTTTTTTCCTTTACCTTTCTCCCTCTCTTAAGCAGTAACATCAAAAGAATGGTTTGGATTATTTCATCCAAACTTTTGCTCTCTTTTGATTCATTGTCAAAGAAAAAATTTTCTTTTGAACACTCTGAAATAATTAACACCTGTTTTTGGAGTGATTACCTTGGAAAAATATTAAGCAAAATTTCTGTTATGATTTTGGAATCAATGGCCGTTCTGATGGATATTAAAATAACATTGTGTTAATGGAGCAATCAATAGAACTTTACGCATCGGTCATTAAAATTGACGAGTTGAATTAAAGAGCATTTTGCTTTTAACTAACATCATCAATCTTTGAATAGAAATGTTTATCATAAGGGTAGTAATGATTGTTAAATGATACTAAACAGTTACGTGCCCTTACTTTTTTATTTATATGCATCTTCTCAATGTAAATTATTATTTTCTGAGAGCTACTGAAGTTTAATTTTTATAAGAATATACCAATATGATTATACATTCCTCATTAAATGATTATCGATTTCTTAAAAAAAATTTTAATACAAAATGTATTGTCTGAGGCACTTCTATACTTTTTATCAACTTTTATGCTCTTGTGTCTTAGGGTAAGAAAAACTTAAATCAATGTTTGATGAAGAGTTAAGTCATATTTTAGGCTGCAACTTTTATCACCAAGAATATTTTATTTCGAACTTTACAGGAATCATCAAGACAATCACTTTCTTCAAATAATTGTTATGTTTTTAGAACTATGTTTTAGAACACTTAAAAAAGAATTATGAATTCTAATAATAAATTTTCTTTTATCCCCATAGCATTAAATACGCAAAAGAATTCTACAGATTTTTTTAATATTATTTCTTGTAGGGTTTCTTTAAAATTTTTTAATTGTAGGGTTTCTTTAAATGTTTCTTTAAAATAATGTAGGGTTTCTTTAAAATTTCTGTTAAAATTTTTATTTTTGATACCCTTCTCTAAATGGGATGTTTGCGTCCAGCTCAATATGTATGTATTTAGATTATCATATTTAGTATGTATTTAGATTCGAGCGCTCCGTGTGCTCGACGTGCCAGACAATGTCGGTCTAAAACCAACACGCTTGATAATTTAGTGAATAACGACCAACAACCAGCTGCACTTTTTGTTTTTTATTAACAACAACAACATTAGGTATAAACAATAACAACAGCTGGAGATATTGTGGATTTCGAAAGGGTTAAAGAGGTATTTATCCACATCTAATGTTTATCGAGTCTCATAGGAGAAGTGATGATTTAATCTCGTTCTGCTAGGGAATGGCGCGCATGCGCCAACAGGATGTTTGCGTCCAGCTCAATATGTATGTATTTAGATTATCATAAATAGATTCCAGAATTTGATGGTATATAAACTTTGGTAAAAATCCCCTTATAAATAGGAAAATAATAATAATGGCTTGTATAAACATTACAAAATGCTTTTAAAATGAAAATGTATAAATATTCCTTTGTAATTTAACAAAAACTTCAATCTAAAATATTTATTTCCGAAAATTTCATACACAAAATAAGATAAAACTTTTTAAAATTGTAATGAAATAGAAAGTCATCATTGTGGAGTATACCATTTGGTCATAAAATATTTAACGATTTTTCAAAAAACTGGTTAATATCAGAGAGAGAGAGATGGTAAATATCAGAGATATCTTAATATAGGCAGTTATTGTTAAACAAAAATATCTAAAAGTGGAAAATCAATTAAAATAAGTGAAATTTATAAGAATGAACTTGTGCTTCTAAATCAAGAAACGTTCTAAAAATATTCTGGAGTTTCGAAATTCAAATAAAGCAAATGTCACCAAAATATATTCCTTAATCACAAATATAGATTGAATTATTAAAAAAAAGGGTTTAAATTAAACATTTGTTAAATTGGCACTCAACTTTTGCCTGTGGTAAGAAGGATGTTACGGTATTATTCAAAGATAGTTGAAGTTTTTAAAAAAGTTATATATTTCCTTTAATCTAAAGAAATATAAAGATTAGCACATTTTAATTTCGTAGTATATATGTTGAATAATCAGCTGCAAAGTTACCATGATTTAAGTTTAGTTATCTAGTGTTAATATGTAGGTTTTTGAAAAGAAAACTCTTTTTCGGTGGGTTGGAAAACCTGTTTAATGAATAATCATTAAAGATTTGTTTTTTATAAATAGTGATATTTGCTTTTTAAAGTTGATCCTAAACATTTTGATGGACAATCTAAATTTTACATTTGTACTCTTTAAGTAATTTATTTGTATTATTTAATCAGGTGATATTCTGGGATGCTTGTTAGATGTTGGCAAATCATATGTAATATTTTATTTAAATGGAAAACCACTGCCTCCATACACTCAGTTGTTTCAAAGTGCTAGGTAATTTTTTTAAAGAATCTTTTTCTTCCTGGAATTGATGAGATACCAACTTGTTCTATTTTGTGAAGTATTTTCTATTGGTAGAAAAAATTATTTTTCAAAGTATCATTATTGATATAGTATTGATATTTGATTTTACTTGAAGTTATCTATCACATCCTAGAAGTAAATTAAACTTGCATATAAAATCCCACTTTGTTTCAGTTATACATTGGTGTAACTTTCAAAGTTTGCCTAAAATAAAACTTTATGAGTTTAAGGTTTTAATTTTCTAAGAATTTATAAATTTTTTTTTACATAAAACAGAGCAGTTGGCATCTCTGAGTATTCTATTGTTATTATTTTCCATGTGTGTGTAAGTTTATTTTTAATGATATCTGTAATCAAATATAATAAATTGACTTTTTTCATTTCTAAAATGTTAGATCTAAAGTTACTTCTCTTACAGTCATGTTATTTCAGAAGTGTGAATAATACTAAAAATACATGTTTTATCATTAACATTTTACCTTAAATATAACAAAATTACTTTGAAAAACTTGTTTAGTGCTTGTTATATTGTGTTTTGTACTTTAGCATGGAAAGTAGCTTTGGATAAAATGTAAAAGGTATATGTATGAGCTATTTTTGATTAAGATGGAGATTGAAAAAATTGGAGGATGTAAGCGATCCCGCTGGCAATAGGCATGTAGTGGGAGGTTACTTGGAATGGCGTATCTGCACTTCATAAAATCCACATTTTTCATCAATTTTCAATTATTTTGCTAGCAGTAAAATTTATTTATTTAGTGTAAAATTTGTTTATTTCTGTATTTTTTTATATAGTGTGAAAATATTTTTGTTTTTTTAACGATATATAAGAAGTAATAGTTCTGTGTGCCATATCATTTCTTGCTGTTGCATATATGTGCTAGTTTATTTGACATAATGTCCCAAAGCTACCTGGCAAGGATCTACTTTCTCAATCATTTTTTTTTTTTTAATTCCAAATATATTTGTAAATTTAGAAAAATCATTTCACAAGTTCTTTATACCTGTTTTTATTTATTTTAGTTTTGAATTACATTATGAATTTAAATTAAATGACAAAAACTTTAAAGTGGCTATAGTTTAGAAAACTTTAAACCAAAATATAGTTCAAAACAAAAGTTTTTATAACACTTTCTATAAAAAAAATACTCATAAAATGTTAGAATGATCAGCATTTCTCCATCGATGTAAAACTGGTCAATTATGGCGAGGTTGATGTAAAAAGTCGACTGAAATAAACCATAAATAAAATGAAGTTAAGAAAGCCGTGTTTAGCATTTCAACTTAATGTAAGATCTATGGTCGAAATATATAACACTGCATTTCAGAAGTTGATGCTATATGCAGGTAATTGTTTAAAGATATTTGGCTGCATTTATAAAATTTCAGCTTATTACCTTTTTTTAAACATTATTTTCTTAGTTCAGTAAAATAGGTTTTTATGCAAAAAAGAAAAAAAAAAACAAATTTAATTAATCTTGTGTTGGCTTAAGATGTTTCAAAATATGTGTTTAGTAAAGAGGTTTAAGCAAATTATACTCTAGGACTCCTCCTTTATATAATATTGGATAAACCACACTTACATAAATTTACGTCTACCAATGGTTATACTAATTTTATTTATGTCTATAGGTCAGGATTTTTTGCAGCCGCTAGCTTTATGTCATTCCAGCAGTGTGAATTTAATTTTGGCCGTACTCCATTCAAATTCCCTCCATCAGGAGTTGACTTCCAAGTGTTCAACAACTGTGCCACTTTGCCCGACGAAGAAACAATTATACTTCCTAGGTAACTTTTTCTAGTTTGTTCAATAAGTAAATAAATGAATAATCTGTAACTAAACAAGTTCAATTCAATGTCATTATAATTTTTTTTAAATACTAGCTTCTATTATAGTTTTAGTTTTTCATAACTAAAAAATATATGTTTTCTTAAGTTAGAGAAATTGGATAATATTCATCTTGAGTTCTTTTCTTTTTAATTTGTTAGTTGATTAAACTTGCATATTCAAGCTATAAAATTTTTTTTTATAAAATTTGGTTACTTTTTCAAATGTAAGGTATAGAGGTCAGATGCCTAACTCTAGCACATGCCTGGGTGGGTAACCTGAAATGTTATTTGATACAGTAAAATGTTAATTGCTGCAATAAGTGTAGTTGATAGCTATACTTGTTGTTACTACGAATACTGACTGCTAAATTCCTCTACTAGGTGGTACAAATAATTATAATCATTCGTGTGGTTCTATGCACTTTGTGCATACATTTTGAAATTCGACACTACTACTTTTTAAAATTTGATTTCTTAGAACTATTGGACCGTTTTCGCTCAAATTTTGTACTTTACTATGTAAAATTAATTACATTCCTTGAAATGCTGCAAAATATTGTGTGTTTGACAATTCAAAATTTTTTTCGACTATTATTAGATAAAATAATAAAAGATACTAAATATTTACTAAAAGTCGCTTTTGGCATGGAATTGTCTTTGGATAAACAAATTTTATTATTGTGTCTAAAACTGTTTAAATTCGTTGAGAAAGTTCTCGAAAGAGAGAAAAATAGGCAAATAATAAAATTACCAATGAATGGTTCTAACTTAGGACCGCTCTTCTGACTGAATTGTTGTCTGACTGATTTCACAGTTTGTGGCTACCCCTTATATTTTGGGGGTTAAAAATCTGAATCTGTCAAAAAGGTATTTTATACAGAGAAAAAACTTTTTGTGACTGAATTTGTAACTTAAAATATCGTCTTCACTCTTTAATTAGAATATTTGAGATCACCCCCTTGAACCATTAAAATTTGAGTCCTAGAATGTGAAGATATGATCATTAAATCAAAAGTTATTCAGGGTGATACATTTATTTTTTTGCCACTTTACAATACTTTCCCTTATAAGATGAATTCAGATTGATTTTTCATGTAGTGAATGTTTTTTTGTTTTTCATTTTAAACGATGAGTTGAAGTATATGCAGTTGAGCAAGTTACTAAATCTTATTGAAGCAATTTTATCATTTCAAAAGCTAAAAAAAAAAAAAAAAAGAAAAGAAAAGAAAATTATGCGAAATTTAATTTTTGATTAGTTTGTTTTAGCCATATTTTAAGTAGTTAATTTTATATTTCTACTCCCTTTTTGTTTCATAAAATTTAAATCATGCATTTGCACACATTTAATGTTATCACTGTTTAATTTAATCCTTTATTTTTAATAACATTTAAGTTTTATTCATTTTCTAAAAATATATTGTTAATTATCAATATAATTTTAAGCATTTTTCAAAAAATCTTAACTCTTTAAATAAATGCCCCTGGCTTAGTTTTGAGTCAGAATTACAAAAATTCAAGTATTCACTTAATTTTTTCAAGCAATTTATGCTTTTGATATATTTTAAAGTTGTTTACCATTTTTTTACATAAATGTTTTGAACATTAACATTTTCATTCTTATAGGCATATTAGACTTGAAAAAGTAAGACAAACGAGTGTACGTGAAGACTCTTGCTCACTTTGTTTTGATGGGTCTGCAACAATCCGATTAGATCCTTGTCAACATACGTAAGTAGTTCAAGCATCCTACATAAAAAATTAACATATATTAGATAATGATTCTTCTATTAGGTTGTGAAAATATTTTAAATTTACTTTATTTAAAAAAACAAGTTGGCATCTGAAAAAGAAAGTCACCATCTGTATAATTCTAATCAGTACTCATTTGTACAATGCTGAAGAATGGAAAAATTTGTAAAAATGCAATATTGAATTTGTAAAAAACTGAGAAATTTTCAACATTTATGGGGTTATCTCTTTTTGACATAGTTTTAAAATTTCCAGAAAACTTTTTTATAATTATACTATGTATTTAATGGAGTTCTAGATGAAATGTTTTTTTTTTTTTTTTTTTAATTNAATTTTTTTTTGTTTAACTGTATCTAGAATAAAATTTTATTTTAAACTAAAAATTCTTCTGTGCTAAAAAAAAAAAAAAAAAACTTTGAAAAGTTTATTTTTCAAATACTTTAAATTTTTTCAATAAAATCTAGTAAATTTTCTCAAATACTCTGAAATATTATTTAGAACCTTCATGCAAAATCTATCTATTTTGATTCTAATCTAGTTATTTTAATTTTCACCTGGATTTGGACACTGTAACACGACTTTTACGTCAAAAATTTATAATTCTCAATCAAAACAAAAAAGAAATAGGTAAATAAATTACTCAGTCTTATTTGAAATCATGGTGCGTGTGGTAAAAAGTGCTTAAAGGTGCTTATTTTCGATATTTAAAAGGACTTAAAGGTGCTTTTTTCATTGGGTGTTTTTAAAAAGTGCTTAATTTTCCCTTTTCAAAAATGATATATTTTTTTGTTACCATGTCAATTTTCGTCACGTATTATGCAAAAGCGAGCTTTTAACATTGTTCTATTCAATGTTTTCACAATTCATTTCCGCGAACCGTTGGTCCATAGCGTATGAAAGCACCAATCATTTTACATGTTTGGTGAAATACTTGCGATATATTCTCAATTTCAGACTTCATTTTCCACCCTCTGATATCGAACCGAAATCTTTCGATAATTTTTTGGCTGACATAATCAAGAAAAGTCTTTGTCAGAAACTAGTTATTTTCTCATGATCATCTAAAATTATTTTGCATTTTGTTAATGTATATAGTGCTTAAAAATATTTTTTAAGTGCTTAAAAAGTACTTAAAAGGTGCTTATTGCTTGTTGGAAAATTTGGCTACTCACCCTGGAAATGTAAATTTTTTTTTCTTCTTTTTAATGCCATTATAATCATATAAATATTTGAATGTTTTGTAGAGGATTTTGTGACCAGTGTGCCTTGCAGCTTGAAGTGTGTCCTATGTGCCGTAGCAAAGTTGAAGAAAGAGTTCAAATTGAAACAACGTAAGGTTATTTAGTTTCCAGTTCATTAGCATCCTAACCATAAAAAATTTCCTAAAGTTTTTGTCTACGAAATTTGTCATAAAAATTTACGAAGTTCGTTAATTGTTATCCAATTACTCTTTTTATACCTTTCTAGTCCTTACTTTTAATTTGAATGAAAGAAAGCAAATAATATACATGAGCGCCGTTCACGAAAATTTTGTCACCATCTCAGGAACTTCTTTAATATTAACCATTATTATACAATGTAAATTCTGATTATTACGGTATACTGAATTGAAGAGAAAGTTATAAAATGTATATGTACTTTGATTATACATTACAAATGTGTACAATGTATAGTAAAAAATATACAGTATATATACATATAAATAAATGGTCAAAATTTCTAAATTCACATTTAGAAAAAACTGATATAATAATAGAAAATTTGGCAAGTCTATTTTTCTGTTATTGTATCTGACCAGTTTCATATCGTCAAAAAGCTAAAATCTTATAACAATCAATATCAAGTTTTATTAAAATTAAAAACACTTTTTAATAAAAAATTGGTGAGTTTTTATACAAATTTTGTCAAAGTGAGGTAGCGGTGTTGAAACTGATTGCAAGAGTCAATAAATTGCTTTCAGAAAATTTTTTATTGGAGATTTTCGCTTGCTGGAAGTTTTTCATTTTATCTAAGCCTGCAAGAAAAGAAAAATTTTTTAAAATAGCAATTTTCTGTTCTGAAAATTTTTCAATATTTTAATTGAAAAAAAGTTAACATTTCTTGCATTTTTTAAGCTTTCTTATATTATTTTTTTCTGTAGGTGAGCCTCAGAAGCCAAATTTCTAAGAGATTTTAAATGTACATTACATTGCAAGAAATTGTGATTTGAATATATATACAACTAAAGAATATAAGAAAAATATGAGATTATTTTATGACTCTACATGAAGCAAGTTCATCTTCACTGAACTTTAAGTGTGTGGTAAAATTGTAAATGATTGCAATCATTTATTTTTTTGTGTCGCATGTTTTTAATGTAAAATTAATAGGACAGTTTTAAATAATTCTTAAAGCTTATGTATGAGTGCTCACTTTGGAGTGCAGACTTTGATTATGTTTTTAATTTATTAGTTATGATACATATTTTTGATGTACTTATAATATTTTTAATTCATTATGTTGTGTTTTTTCATTTAATTTTGTTCATAAATTATTTGTGCCAAATATTTAAATGTAAAATACATTTAATTTTCATATCCATTCATTTCTAAATTCCAGTTTTCTGTTGCCGTCTCCTTCTATAATGAATTAGTTTCTTTTTAATGTCTTCATAACAAAATAAGAGCTTATTTCCATTTTTATGTGATATTTTCAGTTTATAAGAAATGGAAACTTGTTATTTGATTGTCTTCTGCATTATTTTAGCTTTTAGGCAAATCCTTGGCATACTTCCTTTAAGGGTATATTTCAAGATTTAATACACAATATTTTTAAATATCGTGATCAATTTATTGCTAATAATGTTGCAATTCATGCAAATAAATCCATTATTTAAATTTTTATTATTGTGAATTCGCAAAATATTTTTTAAAAAAATATGTAGTCTGGTTGTATTTTTCTCATAACTAACTATTTAAGTTGTAATTAAATAAGCTAGTTTTAATATATTACCTTATATTTTCCCTTCATATATATTTTCAGTTTTTTGGTTTCTAATGTAATATCTTTTGAAGATACAGAACAAAACATATTAAGTAATGTAAACATTCGTTAAAAATTTTCATATTTGTAAAATATGCTGTAGGTGATAAAAATTTATTTAATTAGAACAAATAAAAGACCAAATGAGACCTTGATACCAACACCAGGAGGTACTTCTTGTTGGTATCAAAGTATGTTATATTTACTATGAAATTTAATGGTGTATTATATTAGTACACAATTTCCTCCATCATCAATTCAAAAAATTTGCTTAAGTTATGAAATCGTTACAAAAACTTACTTTCTTTAAATATATAGGCATTTTTTCAATGGATTTGGAGATTTGTGATCTTCAAAATATGGGAGGTAGATGAATTCTAAAAAAATATGGTCCAATAGTCAGGAGATCAAGCAAACATTAAGACCATTTTATGTTAATTTCACTTTTCACGCGTTTTGCTATAGCTCAAAAGAACAATTATTTCAAATTCTGAAATATCATATGATTTATTTATTAAAAATTTGGAACAGTAGGGTAATTATAAATTTTTATTATATAAAGTTTAACCACTTTATTGTATAAAGTGGTTAAAGAATCGATCAAAAAGTTGAACAATTGAATAAATAAAGGATCAATAATTTATTTGTGAATTAAAAAATTGAAATATAAATACATGCAGAGAAGAAGTTTTTATTGTGTTTAATGATTCACTTTTATTATTGTTTTCAATTTTGGTTGAATTGATGAATAATTAAATTTTAAACCTAAATCCTAATTCTAAAAAAACGTTTTTTTAAAAATAAAAAAAATCAGACTTAAAAATTTTGAATTATCTTCCACCTTATACCGTTGGTTGTGTTGAGAACTATTATACTTATTATTACTATACTAATAGCAAAGTGTATGCAAGTTCTTAACAAGTAGCATATTTTTGCTGAAGTTTAAGAATCTATCACAGAATTTTTTAATGGTTGTTTTATAGAAGAGAAATAAATTAAAAACCTACCCAAATCAATCAGTGTGGCTCATTTTATTTTGAAAATTATGGTTTTAACTTAAAAGACACAATGATAATGTACGAATTTCTCATTACTTTAATACATAAAAATATAAGGTTTAAAATTTTTTTTGTGTGTGTAAATCATATGAAATAATTTTTCATTTATTTTTTTAAAATGAGCATAATCAAATTTTAATGCTTGACTGTTCATTTGTTATTCAGATTTAAATATTGCCTAATAGTTGAGGCTATAAAGTGACACCCAAATAATTGAGTTAAATGAGTGTTTTTAGAAGCCAGGTCTAATATGTTATGGATTGGAGTGTAGCCTAATAGTTTTTTGCTTTTTTCTTAAGTGCTACTAAAATAATAGCCTATGCCTTTCTGGAGGCAGTGGGGACTGAGATGTTATTCCCCTTTGGTTACGTCTACATTCCAAAGGAGGTCAATTTTGCTTAAATGATTTTATTGATCTAAATAATAGTGGAAAATTTATTGAAAACTATCTGAGCTTAATAAATTAACAAGCCTTTTTAGTATAGTCAATTACTTTGCTGTCTCTTGTAATATTTCTATAATTTGGTTATAATATATGTATAAGCTAATTATTTTATTATAATAGGATGAAACTCAATGACTATTTCCCCCTTAGTTTTTATTTTAAAACATCAGTTTCTTTTTTGTATCATTATTTTAAAAACTAAGTTTTAAATATTGATTATAATCTTTATGGGATTTAATATTTGTTTTTGTTCATTAGTTTTAATTTTTACATGAATGATATGCCATCATAAAACTAATCAGAAGTATTGTATTTTACCCAATCAGTATTTTTATTTGGAAAGGTAATTTTCAAATTTGAAGATCAGTTAAAATGTGCAATCTTTTATAACTATTTATATGTTTAAATACTATAATTTAGTGCAATTCTTTAAATAATGTGATCTTAGATTGTTTTGTAACATTTATTCAACATAATTTTCTTTTTTTTTTAAATTTTATTTAATTCACATGTGAAATCTTACCTATAGTTTTATGATACATTCTGTTTCAATTAATTTTCTGTTTGTATTAAAAACAGCTTTGCATTGGAACTTTTAAATTACAATTATTAAAATTTTGTACAGTTTATATTCTCTTTCATTTTCTAGATATTTTAGAAAGATTACAGGATTGTCATAAAAATTTTTTTACTACTTTTGATTGCCTTATTTTAAAATCGTTTTATCTTAAATAAAACTGCAATTTCAATGACTCTAATTGTTTTAAGAATCACCCTTAATAAAATGCTTCCTTTTTAACATCCTGATGATCCTTTATTCCCCACAAAATTACTTATAATGACAATTCTAAAATACTCGCTCGGAACAGAGGAAGACTGCTTCCTGGAGGAAAAATTTGTTCAATATCTAGTAGTGATCTTGCAACAGCATCTGTCGCATTCTCTTAAAATTGTCAGTTATCATCAGAGTTAGAATGTTGATGATCTAAAACTTCTTAAAATATGCAAAAAACAGTCTTTAATAACAATTAAAAAAATTTCGTTAAAAAATTGAAAAAATGTGCTTAAAATTTTTTTAAAATTAGCTTTTACATATATATAAAAAAATTATGAAACGAAACTTGTATTTATAAATCTATCAGAGTGCGTAGCATTTGTAAAAAGTACTTAAAGGTGCTTTTTTGGGGATTTCGGTTTTAAAAGCTTTTAAAGGTGCTTTTTTCAGCTGGCGTTTTGAAAAAGTGCTTTTTTTTCGAATAATTTTTTTTCTTCCCTTCAGTGATATCTGGTGGATCCCATGCATTTCACGAAAAATGGAGAGTTTGCTACGTAATCATTCACACGAACTTCATGTCGTACCCACGTTATGACTTGCGCATGCGCGCACACTTGAAACCGAAACCAGAGTGCTCCAATTCGGATAGAGAATATCAGATCCTTGTGAAATGTTTTTCTTTTTAATTTATTTTAATTTTGTTCATTTTATTTTACCTCTAACTCTTTTTTTGACATAGGGGTTAAGGGTCAAGTTGAATTCACTCGGTGATGTGGGAAAGTACTGATTGTTTCGATTTACGCCGTTTCTTTTATTATTTTTTTTTTAACGCTAAAACTGTTTATAAAAAGTTTTTGTTTTTCAATAATATCATTGATTGAATATGAATTTTTTGAGTGCTTGAAAATTTTTGTAAAGTGCTTAAAAAGTTTTTAAAAAGTGCTTATTTTTGATTCAAAGAAAAATTAATTTTGTAATTTATGAATAAAATAAAATGTAAATAAACACCCGAGTTAATTTTTAGTTACTATTTACATTATTTAAAATTCAAAGATTGCTTATAGTCCAAAAGCAAATACTTATTTCATTAAAAAATTCTTTTCCTCATGTATGCTCATTACTAGAGGATAGTTTTAATACTTAGATCCAATATAAAATTCACAATAATTTATAAAGAAAAAATAAATTCACTTAAAATGGAAAAAAAATCAAGAAATGACCAAAACAAACCCAAAATATAAAGAGCCAGAGAGGAAAAAACAACAAAAAATGTTAATAAATGCATTTATCATCAACATCTTGACCCTGGTCATCATTTTGTTGTGTGATGAGCCTTATATTGCTTCCCCTTCATTGTAAAAACGGTTTAACTATAGTCCTACATACATATTTCACATAACAAGGCACGTTTGGCAGTGCTAAATTATTGCTTATTTCAAGTTGACATAAGATTTTTCAGACATAACTACCTGTAATGATTTGAGTTTTTTTTTTCCCAATTTTTGATATGTTTTTCTACACTTTTAACTTGCCTCACCAATCTTTTCAGATGCACTTCGTACATAATTCTCAATTTTTTCTTTTCTTGAAATTTGCTTATATGAACTATGCATGTTCTTCCTTTATGTCTTTAAATAAGAAATCAAAATGGTTTATCTTAAATTACAGTATGAAGATTTTTCAATTTCGCAATCTAAATTTTTTTAATTCTGAATGATGACTGTTTGAAACTTTGCTGTTATTTTTATTAATTATTAAGGCAATATTATTTTGAAAAGTCTGCCTTCATAAATTTAAAAACTACCTATATTATTTTACATTTTGGCTTAAAACATTCTTTTAAAAATCTAGTATAAATAGAACAAAACATCCTTTTAGCAACAGTAAGTATTTAAAAACAAAGAAAATCTAGTTCTGAACAGCGGCTAAAAATATTATTGATTTTACATAACTTTTAAGCATTATATAACTTCAAGTGTCTCCTTTTTAAAAAGTGTGTGAATAATTAACGGTGATGTTTTAAAATTGTAATAAATTATTTACTTTAGTTTTAAAACTATTCAATTATTCTTAATTTTTACGGATGAATTCTTTTATAGAATTAGGGTTAAATATAAGATTTTTCGATAGCGTTTTAGCAATTTATTTATCAGTTAAAAAATGCTTTCCTTTTATCGCAATTTTCATTCGAAATATATTTTCATAGACTAAAATGTCTGTTATATTTACATCATGTATTGTGCAATCTTCTGTTGCTCATTCACAATATCCGCACTATTTAAAAAGATTGTTCAAAATCATTTTTTTCTTCTCAGTGTTTTATAAACTTTGATATTAATATGAATTTTAAACATAACATAAATCAAAACATTCTTGTTGACATTTTAAAGTTATTTATTTTTTACCCAATTCAACTATTATCAATTGCTCAAATTGCCGTGCTTGTTAGCAAAGCTCCTAGTCATTCTTAGTATTGTCCATAATTTTTCTTATTTGTAAAATTTGTCTTGTATTTTATGTAACAAGAAATTTATTAAATTTGGAGCTCTTTCAGTTTGCATTTGTACCTCATACCATCATTCAAATGTATATAATGAATAAATCATTTTGTAAAGAATTTTCTGTAAATAATCTTTTATATTAAATCAGATATAGAGATTTATTATAATAGTCACGTTTAAGCATCTTGTTTTTGAAAAAAATTGGCATTTTAAGATATTATTCTATTTATATTATGCTTCTACCTTGTTCATATAAATAAATATTAGTTCAATGCATTATATGGATGGGTGGCCTAATGTAAACAATAACAAGCATCCTTAAACCGGAAGAAATTTAGAAAATTTCCTTTGTATCCCTCCTCTTTTGTTATGACTACGAGGCGATGTGTGATCAAGCCTAATATTCTATGCAGTTTTGTTATTGCAATTTGGGTTCAAATCTAAACATAATTGTACCATTCATAAGAGCTTTCAGAAATGTATTGATTCTCAGAGGTCGTAAGGCCAAAAAATTTTTTTGGAAAGTTAATATCTCATTGTGAATAATTCTTAAGGTTTGCCAGGTTTTGTATTTTATCCCTTATTTGGCTACATTTGAATAAAATGTCGCCAAAAATATCTTTTTAAGTTAACCTAATTAAAAAATATTCTAATGATTATAATATTAATATGATAATGCTAAAGTTTAAAGGCTGATAGAAAGAACTCGGTACATGTAAAATACTGCAAAAGATATGATGGCGCGTTTTTTCAATCTGCGGCGTAAAAATATATCGGAAGCAGTAACCCGGAAGTCTTGCGAGAGCAATTTAACCACTAGCGCCACCACCCTTAGCTTTACACGATCACCCATCCATAGGCTGTTCTATAACCACCTATAATTTATATGAGACAAAGTATACACGTTCATTCAAGGTTGCAAATTATATTTTTAAGTTTATAACAGTTTAGCAACACCTTTTTCCTTATCAGTCTTTCGATTGCATTGTTAGCAAAAAAGAAGATTGGTGTTCTGTAAAATAACTCACAAACCTATAAAAAAATTTGAAATTTATTTACTTCACAAATATTCCAGTCTGTGCAGATAAAAATACTGATATATATTTCAGACACTAGCATACACACATTATTTACTATATTCCGATTAAAAGTAAAAATGTCACTAAATAGTTAAATGAATTTGTTAGTTAGAACTTAACAAGAAAATATATATTACAAAAATGAGCAACACAAAAATAATTTTTTATATATGTGCATTTTATATCTTAGATTGTTATCCTAAACCATAAATTAGTTTAATGAATTTAAGTTTTTAAAATATAATGTAAGTTAAATCTAGAATTATATTAATTAGCAGTGTTAGTTTATTATTTCAACGTAACATATTGTTTTAATTAAAAAGAAAATTCTGGAAGTTTCAAGTGCAAATTTATATAATTTTTGTTATTTTTACAATTATTTAAAATCTTTTATCTATATTCAGGTTATAAATTGGTTACTTAATAAAATTCAAATTATAATTTTTTGTTTGTTTAATACTTAAGCTTTTTTTTTTTTGCAATGATTCAAATACTTATAATTTTAAAAAATATGACATAAAAATGTATTAATTATGGATGATGATAATTAAAGACTAAAAGACTACATTTAAAATTGTGCGGATGATTTAGAATGCTGTTCACTGATTATAACTTCAATGTTCAGTCACCATTCTACATTTGACTCAAATACACTGAATAGCAAAAATATTCTATATGTTAAAAGAATCTAATTTTAGGATACTATATGTACAAACCATGTAAGATATTTGCGAATTTACACTAACAATTCTAAAGTTTTTCTAGTCAAATTTATATGCAATATTGTGAAAAACTATAATGAATAGATGTAATATTAAAAGTTAAAAACATAAAAGTTAGAATAATTTTTTATGTGTAATGTAAATTAATATAAATGGTAAGAAATCAATTTTATAATCAACTAACAAATTCAACAGAATGTAATTTGCAACTTTAAAAAATTCAATTTTTCACATAATGTTCACAATTCCATTCTCCAAACTTTGGGAATAAGATTAACATGATACCAGAAAAATAAATACACATGAAGAATATTATTCATTAAGTACAGTTTAAATAAACCTACTAGTCCAGCTTTTTTACCAGTTAATAAATTTTAACAGTGAAAAATATATTAATAACTTATATAGAACTGATATTATTCTTACTATTTTTCATTTTTGGATTTTACTGATTGGTAGAAAAATAAACTTGGGGTGTTAAAAGAGACATTAACAAAATCTAACTTTAACAAATGTTAGTCAAATGCATATAATTATAAATTTCATAGACATTTAAGGTAAATGGTAAAAATTCTCAAGGGTCTATAAGGTAAATGACCCTTCAAAATCTAATCAATAAACACAATTTTGTTACATTTAGCAAAAAAATTTGAATACTAAAATCAAATCTTGTTCTTGTTTGATACAAGTATGAATGTTCACTTTCAATGAATTGAATTATCGAATTTGATTAGCTGTTTATGACAATATTATTTTAAGAAATATCTTTCCAAATAATAAAAAATTTTCATTTGCTAAAAATATATTAGAAAAGAATTAAAGAAATTACTAAGCTTAAAAAGACAATTTAATCTGTACGGAATAAAAACTTAATACAATGTTTAAATTAAGTATAATTGTTTTCGAACAAATGTTTTTGTCCACCAAAGTTAATTAACTTCGTCAAAAAAATAAATAATTCATTGAGAAACTCTTGATTGCCTCCCTTAAAAGATTTTTTTTCCTTCACACTAGCATGTGAAACAATAATTAGTGAATTGCCAGATTTTGTACAGGTCAAATATTTTACTCATAATTATGAATTTAAAAAAAATCAAATTCTCACATAGATTATTTATGCTTGTAGCATCAAAGATTAACGATGCTACAAAGCACAAACAATCTCCAGTCAATAATTCACTCTAACATAGGGTGAAAGTCTTCTCACATTCACAAAATAAAACAGTTTTATATGGCTTAGACTATAAGTTTATGTGAAATAAATATAATAAATAATTGTACTAGGAAAAATGAATTCCTTTTCTGTCTCTCACTGAACACAAGATCATGAACAACAAATTTGAGAATATAATTTGATATAAATAGCATAAAGCTCTATTTTTTATTTATTAGTTTATAATTAAAAGACTATTTTTGATAAAATCACACATTTTCTTCTATTTTCGAAGTTTTCCTGCCCGTATAAGGAAGATAAACGTGTTGTGTTTCTGTAATGGTGCTTCTGCATAGTGGGCAACTCAAACAGAGGGGAGCACAAGTACTGCAGCATGCAACATGACGACATGGGAAAAACACTGTACTAATGTCCAAATCCATACACACACGACAAAGCATAGAATCTTGAAATGTGGCGAGTTGTTCTTGCACCAACTAAAAATTCAAATTAGTAATAATATTAGCATAATAATTTCAGTTTCGTGTTCATATAACTCATTAATTCATCTAAAATAAAATGGTTTTATTTATTTTTAATATAAAAGATGCAAAGTCAGGGTGCGTAGCGTTTTTAAAAAGTGCTTATTTTCGTTTTTTAAAAGCCCTTAAAGGTGCTTTTTTCATTGGGTGTTTTTAAAAAGTGCTTAATTATCCCTTTTTCAAAATGAGATTTTTCCTTTACTATGTTGATTTTCGCTTCGAATTATGCAAAAAGACACAGTTAACATTCTTCTTTCTATTCAACGCTTTCATAATTAATTCAACTCCAATCTATTTCACCTTATAGTTAGTCCATAGCGTTTGAAAACGCCATTCGTTTTACATAATTCAAAATTTCATGATTTTTGACAATTGTCAAAAACAATGTCAAAAGGTTTTTTTTTTTTTTGACATGACGGTTAAAACAAGATAAAACCGTCGATTGTCCAACCCTGCCTAATTTTGATATTTTTTTAAAGTGCTTAAAAATATTTTTGAGTGCTTGAAAAGTGCTTATTTTTTGTTGAATTATTTAGCTACGCACCCTGAAAGTGCGCAAAAAAATAATGGACCACCCTGATGCTAGTTAATTGGGCAGACGGTATTTTAAAATACGAAATCAAACACAAAAACGCACTTGCTCTGAATAAACATACTTTTTTTTTTGGCGGATTCGGATGTTTGACCCCATAATATATAAACTATACAGGATTATTCATAATTCCTTCCAGGGTTTCGAAGCGTTATAGTGAAAAAACAAAGACGAATATGGCAAAAAAGAACATATGAAATTATTCTGAAAGTTTCCAAGTTTTAATTTAAGCAGTTGCCGGTAGATGGCAGTAACATGTACCACTGAAGCCGGTTGTAGTAACCAGAGGGAATTATGAGTAGCCCTGTATAAATGTATGTGACGAACATAAATCAATAATGCATTGTTAACATTTATGAAGGACTGAGAACGAATAGTATAAATTATGCCTTTCGCTCATAGTTTTAGAAGTTTTACGTATATGAAACTTTTGACAGATGTAATGTAATGTAGGGTTTAATGAATCATTTACTAAAGTAAACAACATTAACATGGTTTTTCGAAGCTCTTTCTCCAAGGGAAAAAAAAAAACACTGTTTAAGTGCCTTACACTTGAAGCAACGCTATATTTTAAACTCTATATACCATCTTGTTGTGATCCGGACTTAGGAACAGTCCAATGACTTGAATTTTTTACAAGTTATTAAACTTAAAAAAGAAAAAGAAAAAAAAAACGCCTATTTGGCGACATTTATCAAAATCACTGCCTTATTCTCAGTTTTTTGCAAATTTTTGCGAGCTTTACATAAGTAAGTTTTAAATATGGAAGAAAAAAAATAGACCACAAAGACTTAATTTTCACAAAACTGTGGCCTTCTTCCACATTGACGTTTTGTGCCATTTTCGGAATAAGCATAGAGAGCGCTGGCTATAGATAAGACTAAATTTGCTCTAACAGTCGAGAGTAAGTGTTGCGAATTCACAGAAGTTATGGAAATAGCAAATAATTCGCAATGAGCATCATTTCATATGACGACGTAACCTTCAAAAAACAGCCTGAAGGACAAAGAGCACACTTACCTTACAAGACGCAGATTGGCAATCTTTTTCCTTCAAGTTATTCAGCTCGTCCATTGAGCGTGTTTTTGATGGATTCATAGTCTTTTTATTGCAAATATCTTCCACCTGATACATGACTCTTCTAGTATGGTCATACACTTCTCTACAAGTTCTTTGAATATCAAACACATAGTTCTTTCCCAAGGCAGTGTTCTCATTAAATAAGGACGCGATCGTTCCCTTAAGGTCTCTAATGTACTGTGAAGTAACAGCATTACGCACTGTTTCACAGCTGTAGAAAGCATGCTTTTCAGTAACAGCTCGGTACAGGGCACTTGCCGAATGACAGTTTTCGAGCTTGAAACCAAGAGGCTGTGATTCTCCAGAATGGTTCAGGAAGGTCAGGAAGAAACAACGACCTGAATGCGTGGCTAGATGAATGGATGCATAGGTGATGCTGCAAATGGAAAGAAGCAATTAAGAATTTTTTAGAATGAAGAAATATTTTGCATTGTGGGTTAAGTACATGAACGTTTGTAGTTAGGAATCCATTTTATATTATCTGTTACTGTGTAAGTTCGAAATTTATTTTACCCCTTTGATGCAGAATTTTTACAAAACATATTTCTTATAATCTTTTCATTATTTTGTATTTATTTAGATCAAAATAAGTAATTCCAATGATCAGATTTGTTTTAGAAACTTTCACACTTTTTCTTATGATGATATATATATATATATATATATATATATATATATAGGGTGTCTCACCCGCTTTAAAGGTTTAATTATCATTATTTTAGAATGGTGCGTGTCAACATTCCGTAAAATTGATGATGAATTAAGAAATAATTTATATTCGATTGTAGGGAATCGTATAAATACGATTAGCTACAAAATGAGGAATTTTTTTTAAATTTTTTCTGCTTAAAAACGTATATTAAAAATGTAGTGTGTATTAACTACCTTAAAAATTTATGTCCTGTGCAGTTTTCAACGAATTTTTTTAAAAATTTAAAAAAAATAATTTTGTAATTAATTTTAAATTGCTCCAAAAATTTTGATTTTTTTAAATATTTATTTAGTTATAGCAATAAATTAGTTTTTTGTTTTATAAAAATAGCAAAAAATTCGTTTTTTTTTTTAAATAAAAATGTTCGCATCTCCATAAAATTTTATGCGGTTATCGAAAATAACAACTTAAGTAATCAATACAAGCTTATTGCTTGATTTTCTGGCATAGGATGTTTAAAAATACTTGTTTTCTTTCGTAATTAATTGTCAGTCTCCCAAACCTCTGAAAGCTTTAAATCTTATAGCTAAGTATGAAAAATTGTATAAACTAAACATCTCTTAAGTTATAAAATAATCCTTTAAGTATTTCCCGAGAAATTTAGAAAAATGGCAAAAGTGTGCAGTTGATTATTGTAGGGTAGTGTATATCGATATATACATTAAATTATGTAAATAATGCTAAAATCTAACAAGTTTAAATTTTTTAAAGGAGTTAGAAAAACGACAGTTTTACATTTAAAATACTTTGGAACCATCTAAAATCCATAAAAAAAATTATATTAAAATTTTGTACTAGGTGACATTTCCTTGCTAAACCTCCCTTTTAATACACACGGTGATAATTTATTTTCCTACGTCAATAAATTTAAAAATAAAATCTGTATAAAGAACACTACGATATTTTTTTTCTTCTTCTGTTATATATCATAAAACGATTTTTTAAAATACTTTGGAACCATCTAAAATCTATAAAAAATATTAAAATTTTATACTAGGTGACATTTCCTTGCAATACCTCCCTTTTAATACACACGGTGATAATTTATTTTCCAACGTCAATAAATTTAAAAATAAAATCTTTATAGAGAACACTACGATATTTTTTTCTTCTTCTGTTATGTATCACAAAACGATTTTTTTTAAATACTTTGGAACCATCTAAAATCCATAAAAAATTATGATATTAAAATTTTATACTGGGTGACATTTCCTTGTGAAACCTCCCTTTTAATACACACGGTAATGATTTATTTTCCTATGTCAATAAATTTAAAAATAAAATCTGCACGACGTTGCATTTATATTACAGTGCAATCTAGCACGCAATTTCAAAGTTGCAAATACCATTATAATATTTTTCAATTATTCTGAAAACGCAATTCGCGTTAATACAAACTGTAACAAAAATGCCTATTGCGGAAATTCGTGAGTGTATGTTTATATTTTATGATCATCCTGAATAAATTTTTTCCTGACTCCATTCCCACGACAAAGTATAACAGGAAAGAATGAAAAAAAAAGAAAACATTTGTTCCTCAGAGGAAGGAGCCCCGAACAGGAAGAGCGACCCACCTGTATTTATGAAAGAGGAGGAAGAAAGATGAGTTTTAAAAAAAAAAAAAAAAAATATCAAACTATCAACTCCTACCAAAAAATTTTTTCCCAGCAGTAGTGTGGATAATTTGGAAAGTTTTCTTGTAGCTCCTGCAATTTTATTCGAAAACAGCAAGAGCATGGATCATATAAGTAGTACATTTAAATTAATGTCAATTACCTTTTAACAATTTAATAATATAAAAGTCGTATTTCTAAAATTTAATTTCTCAGGAAATATTCGATCAATTGCGCACAAATTTTTGCATTTTGCTATGTAAAAGTACATTCTTTAAAATTATGTAAAAATTACAAACCTTGCAATTCAAAATTTTTCGAGTATTATTAAATAAAATAATAAATAAACTAATATCAGTGACGCGACAGCCCAATGCCTATCTCAGTGCAGGGGCAGATGTTCCGGTTAGGTGGTCAGTTGAATGCGAAACCTCCAGTGTTTAGTCCCCAAGCATGCTTGGTACTCATTTATCGACCCACTGAAGGGATGAAAGGCTGAGTCAACCTTGCTCTGTCAGAGGATCGAACCCCAGACCTGTGGCACGGGAGTGCGAAGCGCCATCACTCAGCCACCGGGCGTCCAAAATAATAAATACTTTTTAAAAATCCTAGTTTTCGTACTGAATTATATTTTGGGAAAACGAATTTTATACTTGGGTGCAAATTTTTTTTCAATACGCTTTAAAAGTTCTCGAGATATGATAAAATACGCAAAAAGTAAAATTATCCGGGTTTAAACTGCGGTCACCCTCTGAATTTTGGGGGTCAGAAATCCGAATCCGTCGAAAAAAGGGTTTGTTTATTCAGAGAAACTACGTTTTTGTGTGTCTGATGTCGTATCGTAAAATTTCGTCTGCAGTAATTAGCATATTTGAGGTCACCCTCTTGAGCCATTGAGTCCGAGAACATGCAGATCCGACCATTAGATCAAAAGTTATTCAGGATGGTCCGTTTATTTTTTGCGCACTGTACTAAGTATGCACTTGCGTTTATTTTACTTGAAAAATTCAGCGATTTTACATTGCTTTACATTTCGGGATGGAAAATTTTCATAAAATTTTACATGTTTTAGGAGTGAGCTAATCATAGATTCGCGAAAATTTTCTTTGAATGAAGTCTTAATTTTTGGAATCACATTCCTGCTATAGAATATAAAGAAGTTAACAGTTACATCATCTGTTATTCTTCTATTCCCTTCAAACATTTCAACGTGCAAATTTCTTCAAAAATGGCGGAAATCGAACTAATAAACGCCTGAAAATTTCCAAACACGACGAAAATAAACGTCTCAATAATTCGCAATAGAGAGACAACCATTTCATTATAAGGAGGATATTTTGAGCGTAGTTTAATGTTCCGATTAAAAATTTCGATGTAGGGAGACTTCGCCTTTACGTATACGCTCACCATTTAAATTAAATACATTACCGAAATAAATGTAAATGAATAAACACTATTAGCAGCAAGTTGGGACGTCCCATTACTGATGTTCTAGGGAGAAAAAAAGTTTTTTCGAGTATCGTTTTATAAAGATTAACCCTTTGACGCAGATGGGCATCGGTGTCCCTTTAATATATATATTTTTCTGACGTTCAAATTACAAGAAAAATGCATTTTCGTATTTTTTAATTATTAAAAACAGTCTAATAGTTACTAACAAAATCAGTTACACTATCGGAATTATATCTGTACAAAAATAAAAAAATAGAAAAAAAGAAGCTAGAATTTTTTTTTTTCATTCATATTCAAAAATGTATCAATAATTGATTTTGTAAATTAAAGTAATTTCAATAATGAATAACTGTTTCTCTTAGGTTTAAATAAGTGCAAATTTGAAAAATTATTGTTTGGAAGTAAGCACGTTTTGAAGATTTTACCTTTAATGCAAAAAAAGATAACGGTGTTTCATGCTGCAATTCATAACCATAAATTATTAAAATGCTACATATATTTTTCACTTATTTCGACCGAAATTTATGCAAAAGAATGAAAAAAGTATGAAAAATATGTTTAGTAAAAATTCAACATAAAAGGGTTAAAGTATACTGTTTCATAAAGCAGCGGTTCTCAATTTTTTTTTCTTCTTTTCAGTCACGGAACCCTAAATGATCGAACTTCTTTAAGGGGAACCCTGTTCTGTAAAAAAAACGTTTATCAGGGTTCATTGTAAATGTGCTAAAAGAAAAAACATTCCCAATTAATAGAGAAATATTTCATGCAAATGAAAATTTTTCATTGTTTCATCAATAAGTCTTTAAAATTGGGTTTTATGTTAGGTAGTTGAATTCTCACGTCTGCAGCTGCTACGTTTTTGCTTTATAAGTCTAGTAGTTTTTCCGTATAAATTGAAATCGAATAAATTAAGCTGAATTATGGTTTTTGAAAACGAAATATTATATACAGTGAAAATGGTTAACCGGGAAAAATAATTCTTATTCTTGAACTTGTTTATTTTATTTTGAAGTTCGATAAGAAATACTGATGCAATCATGTGTAAATGCAAATCCTTTTAGTAATTTATTAAATATAATGTTATTAAAAAATATTTTTTTGAAATTTGCTACTTCTTTTTTATTGCGATTTTACATAAATAATTTCATATAAATAATCTTAATATTAAATAAAGAATGGATTATTGGTTGAATACAAACTTATTACTGGTTTCAAAAATCCTTACAGGTTAAAAAAAAAAAAAAAAAAGTCCCAACACACGGAACCCCAATGACCTTTTCATGGAACCCTAAGGGTTCTCGGAACACCATTTGGGAACCGTTGGTATAAAGTATTGTCAGCTTCGAGATAATGTAGCGTTTGGGGAAAGAGAAGTGAGAAACCTTGGATACATTTATCGATTCTCAATTTGTTTTAATTGTGATGCAACTGTTTAACTGTATTATCGTACCATATGTATTTAGGAACATAATAAAGTGGGAAACGGGACAAAAAAAAAAAACAAAAAAAAGCTCACGATATTCCCTTCAGAATAGAGAGCAACACGAAACCATAAAACGGAACATTTTCATTATACACAAACGATTTTTCTAATGCCCG